AGTCTTTGGCGGTGGTCCATTCTGCGGGTAGGGTGTTGAGCTCGGGTACCGTCTCCTGGGTCAGGGCAAAGTCTGGTGGCGGTTCCACTTGGAGGCTCCTGAGGAATTTCTTAGGGTCCGCTCCTGGTAGCAGCGTGTATGTTGTTCCAGATTTGAAGGCCACCAATTTGAAGGGGTGTCCCCAAGTGTATTTGATTTCCTTCTCTTGTAGAAGCAGCGTCAGGGGTCTCCAGTTTCTTCTGCGTTGCAGAGTGGTAGGGGACAGGTCCTGATATAAGTTGATAGCTGTGTCTTGGTATGTCAGATTTTTATTCCGTGCATATTTCATCACCGCTTCCTTCGTGGAATAGTAATGGAAACGGAGGATGATGTCCCTTGGGGTCTGTCCCTCCACCCTGCGTGCCCGGAGCGCTCTATGTGCGCGGTCGATTGCCCAGTGTTCGTCCGAAATACCTGGGATTAGTTGTTTGAAGTACTGCTTCATTTTGTTTACCAGGTCCCCCTCTTGAGGCGATTCTGGGAGTCCCCGGAGTCGTACATTATTGCGCCTGGAGCGGTTGGCGAGATCTTCTACTATCATTTCCAGGTCTGTTATTTGTTGTCTCATGGTCCTGGAATGTGTTACCACCGAGTTGTGAGCGCTGGTGATTTGCTCCATTTTATCCTCTAGGGCCGCCGTCCGTGCGCCCAGTGCTTGAATTTCCGCTTTAACCTCTTTGGTGCTGTTGGAAATTTCCTTGGCTAGAAAATTCCTGACTTCTGTCAGTTTTGTTAATATATGTGGGGTATCTTCCGTTTGGAATTCGGGTATATCACTACCCGTTGTGGATGCTGGGGAGAGGGAGCCATGAGGGCTGTGTCGGCGGCCATCTTGGGAGGCCTGTCTGCCTCGTGGTGTTGCTAACATGTCGGCCACTGACCTGGCGGTTTCCCTTCGATCCCCTTTTTTTTTTAAAGCTTGTTTTGCTCCGGAGTGTGAGCCTGGCATATTTCAGCTGCTGTGGCTGTCGTCTGGGTCTCGATGCTCGTGGCTAGTGCTGGATTGTGAGTGGATTGTGCGGAGCTCTGGAGCTATGCGGCCATCTCGGTCGGCATCCAGACCACGCCCCCCGATGTTACATATTTTATATGTATATGTATTACATATATAATAGATATATACACATATATTATATAATTACATTAATAAATAAATAAAATAATTAAATAAATAATTGAAACAAAATTTTATTAAAATTATATATTCATATGTAATTTCATTCTAACTGTATTTTGTTATTAATATATATATATATATATTGGTAACAAAATACACTTATAATGACAATCTATCTGTATATAAAATACAAATAACCACAAATATATATAGATAAATACATTTAATTGCATAAAAGATTACATTAGTATACACGTAGAATTTAAATATAAATGCATATATATTAAAATTCTACGTGTATATTTAAGTAATCTTTTAACATAATTATGTTATTTGATTAATTAAAATTTGACTGACATGCCTGACAACACAGAGAGAAAGTACAGAGAATTTAATTCACAAGCACTATATTTGACCCTGTAACTCTCCAAGACACCATAAAATCTGTACATAGGGGGTACTGTTTTACTCGGGAGACTTCGCTGAACTCAAATATTAGTGTTTCAAACTGGTAAATTGTATTACAACGATGATATTTTAAGTAAAAGTGAAGTTTTTTGCATTTTTTACAAACGAACAGCACTTTTATGGACTATATTATTGTTGTAATATGTTTTACTGTTTTAAAACACTAATATTTGTGTTTAGTGAAGTCTCCCGAGAATAACAGTACCCCCCATGTACAGGTTTTATGGTGTTTTGGAAAGTTAGAGAGTCACATATAAGGCTTGCATTTCATTTTTTTGACATTGAAATTTGCCAGATTGGTTATGTTGCCTTTGAGAGCGTATGGTAGCCCAGGAATGAGAATTACCCCCATGATGGCATACCATTTGCAAAAGTAGACAACCCAAGGTATTGCAAGTGGGGTATGTCCAGTCTTTCTTAGTAGCCACTTAGTCACAAACACTGGCCAAATATTAGTTTTTGCTTTTTCACACAAAAACAAATATGAACGCTAACTTTGGCCAGTGTTTGTGACTAAGTGGCTACTAAAAAAGACTAAACATACCCCACGTTCAATACCTTTGGTTGTCTACTTTTTCAAATGGTATGCCATTATGGGGGTAATTCTCATTCCTGGGCTACCACACCATCTCAAAGGTAACATTACTAATGTGGCAAATTTCAATTTGAAAATGGAACGTTCTATATTTGACCCGTGTAACTTTCCAAAACACCATAAAACCTGTTACTTGGGGGGACTGTTGTACTCGTGAGACATCGCTGATTACAAATATGTGCATTTTATTGCAGTAATACCTAACAGTATTATGACATTAACAGCTAAAATGTCAGACGGAAATACAAATTTTTAAAAAAAATCTTATTTTCTAAATTTTTTTAAAATTGTATTCATAATAAATGATGTTCCATATATGAATAGTTCATGATAAATTAAAGCCCTGTTTCTCCTGAACAAAATGATATATTATAAGTGTGGGTGCACTTAATGTGACAGCGGTGAATTATGGGTGAACAGACATATAGCGCAAATTCCAGTTTTTGTTTACGTTTTGTTTTGATCAGAACGTGTACTATTGACTCCGTCCTGAAGGGGTTAATATGATTCATATTTATAGATGGTATTTTTTTTTTTTTTTTTTACTTTGGGCAGTCAGATGATTTGCTTGCCATGCTGTTCTTTAACCCCTTAAGGACCAAACTTCTGGAATAAAAGGGAATCATGACATGTCACGTGTCCTTAACGGGTTAAAGGAAGTCTGGATTAAATTAAACAGACTTGTAAACCAAACTGTGAGTTCACACAAATGGCACAGAAATCTAAACAAAGAAATATACATACAAACCTTTTTATGCAATTTCTACACAATGAACATATAAAAAGGCTGATGCATGAAAAGTGCACTTTATTTTATTTTCTTTGTTCTACTTCCTTTTATGTTTTGGGGGCTCTGTAGTCCAGAGGTTTGACTTTCCAGATGAGTTTTGAAAACATTGCTGGTTATGTATAGAGAGCAGTTCTGGGGCTCTCTAAGTTCTTAAAATTGAGAAGTCAACTGGAGCATTGCACTGGTTTCCATGGTGAATGCTCCACTGAACATTGACCTAAAATAAAATATAATGTCAAGTAACAGGTCTGATATGCTTAATGAAGATTCTAACTATTTCGTATCTGGTATCTTTTCACTTAGTATGCCTCAAGCTGCTTTATACAGCACAGTGTACATTTCCAACTTTAATCTTAGAAAACTGTAAAATGTGCTCCAATTCAGATCATAAACTCTTGCCACAGAACTTTTTGTGTGCTTATGCTGCTGCTACAAATATGTAAAAAAAAAAATCATTGTCATCAGCAAATAATATCAAGTGCCATTTTCTAACTTTGCAAGATAAGGTATGCATCTAACAAATCAGACATTATATTGACATGTTACCTAACATAAAAGTAAAATCCAGAATCTGCTGCTTTATTCTGAACCTATTTTTTTCTCGTTTTATTATCTAGTCTAGTTTACAAAGATCTAATTTAGAAATTGTGCTTTTATGAAGAGAATTTTGCTTTTAAGCATAGATTACATTTGGAATATAATTTAAAGTTTTAAAATGGACAGCGTTCTGACTGAGAGCCGCATATTACAAACATATTGAAGCAGCAGGATACTGGAAAGACAAATCACATCATACAAAAAATAAAAAACAGAATCTCTTTTAAGCTTTGATTCAAGGGTGGGGTTGGGGTGGGGTGACAAAGCTTTTTAGATTTGGAATCTTACCAGAATGGTGATTTCTGTATCCCATTATCTAATTTTAATGGCTAGGCTGTGTGTTATAACTTTTGCCCAATACCAAATAATAAAGTCTCTCTGCATTGCATTACATTAATATAATATTATGTGCATATGATTTGTGTGTTTCACAGATAAGAAATCAGTGATTCCAGGTCCTGGCAATTACAGTCCAGAAAGGTGCCCTGTTCCCACCCACAGAAGACCTCCATCTTATTCCATTGGCTCTCGAACTCGTTACCGCTCCAGCGACCAGGTTCCAGCTCCAAACAGATACTCTCTGCCTCCAGTACTAGGCCCTCGTGTTCCAGGGAAGTCCTCTGCTCCAGCATTTAGTATGTCTGGAGTGAGCCACCATGGTAGATATTGTGAGGATTTGGCTCAAACACCAGGCCCGGCTCACTATTATCAAACTGATCTTAATAGTATTATGAAGAAAGGGCCTGCTTTCTCTATGCTGGCTAGACCCACAAAGGCCAGGGTAGTGCAAGTTACCCCAGGGCCAGGAGCTCATAGCCCTGAAAAGGCGTCAGGCCATAAAAGCCGTGCTCCTGCATTCTCAATGGGGATTCGACACTCTGAATACACTACACCACTCATAATAGATGTTTCGATGTGAAAGAACAGTGCATCTTGTCTATTACCCAACCATCTTATCTATACCTTAAACTCAACTAATCCTTTCCAAAACAGCAATCTCGCATCTCTCCTCTTCACATCTTACTGCTCTTCTAGTATATATCGCTGTTCCTCATATAATTACTCAAAATCTAACCCATCTATTCGCTTTTGAAAGTTATGCTAACCTCCACATGCTTATGACTCCACATGCTTATGACTCATCTAGACATTTCAACCCAGATATGCTTCACTACTACAGTACATCTTACACCCCCTAACAATTACTTGGGCCCCCAGGCCTTCTTAGCTACTTTTTTTCCACCACTGCAGTTTAAGTGGTCATTTCACAAAAAGCTAATCCCTATCAGTCACTCCTCTTCCATACCTTGTGCCACTCCTTAGACAGCCATTAACTTACCTAGTCTACCTTGCTAAAGTTACAACCAACCTATCCAACTCGCAAACAGCCATAACCCAACAAGGCATTCCTTACACAGTCATGGCCCTCCTAGCCATTCCTTACACTGCCATGTCACTTTGCTACAGTTACAAGCACCCTATCCAACTCACACACAGTTATGGCTAACCTAGCCAATCCTTACACATTCATTGCCCTCCTAACCATTCCTACAGTCCTCTTAATCATTCTTTCCACAACTATTGCCTTACTAGCCATCCCTCACACTCCAACGTCTAACCTATATATGCCATATCTCTATTGTATTCTTATATCCCTAACAAGATTCCAAAATTACCTGTAATCATATACCCCAAACAACTATCTTTATCCTATTCTCCCCCAACAATATTAGACATTTTATCCCCCAACCATTACAGACGGCTTTATTTCAGCCCTCTATCCAGTTATGTAAAGAGAATGAATTATGCAGAATCTAGTTGAGCTTTATGCAAACAATTGTCTCTGGGGAAAGAGATTTTACAGATCTCAGTATTAGACACAGCCTAGAAATGTGGGGGAGGTCGGCAATGATGAAAGTCTTTAAAAAATGATTTTCGTTTTTTCAACAGTTAACCAAATGGGCGTGGAGGAAAAAAAAGGGAACGTCAGTGGATGGAGAGGTTTCATTATGAGGAAGGGAGTAATATTTGCTATTATTTGCTTAAGTTATGATTGCTGCAGGCAGTTCCATATTGATACCACAGAAGCTACAGGCAGACAGCCAACCTGTGTTAGTAGTGCTTTATAATATGCCTGACTCACCAGTTCTACACTGAATATCAGCCCCTATCATCATCCTGCCTTTCATCTCTTTGGCCTTAGTACCCTTCTGCCTCTTACTCCTCCCCTCTTCTATCTGTTTTCATCTCTTGCACTTTGCTTCTCTTCTCTATTTACCATCTCCCTATTTCTTACAGCTCCTCTCCCCCCTTCCATTCGGTGCTTCTCTCCCTCCTCCTTGTCTATAAATAATATTGAATTTTCTGCCTGTGTGTTGGCTCTTTGCCTTCTGAAACACTAACTTACATCCACCTCCTGCCCTGCTCCTTCCAACTGCACTGCTGCAGGGCAGGCAATGAATAGGTTAATGGTGCCTTGATTGCTGCACAAAATGTCAGCTAATAATTTAATCTATACCTTATTATTTCTGCCAGCGAGATTCTTGTTGAGAAAGTGTATAATTTAAAGTGACAAAGTAAGCTAATGTAATGGTGTACACTGAGCTGGTAAAAGACAAATGTCATACGGTTATTTGAGAATGTAATCATTTTATAACCCATTACTACCACTTGGAAGCAAGATTTTATCAGCAGATGGGTGTTTGCCACACAAAAGGTAGTAATAACTGGGTTAATCAGAGGCCATAAACGTTAATTATTAATGGGGGGGAGGGGGGAAGGGTATAATTATTAATTATTAAACAACCTGTGTAGGAGGTGGAGATTTTTCTGCTTATGTTAACACTTAAGGCATTCACAATTAGTCCAATTTAATAAACTTATTATCAGAGCTGACCAAGGCTAAGTGGTGACCTATCAACTCCTAATACACATGCTCTAGGATTCTTAAAGGGGTAGTATCACGAATAACATGTCATGAACCTATTTTGGTCAACTAGCAATCATCTGACATTGAGCTAGTGCAACAGCAAGCAAAAGGAAAAAAAATTAATTATAAAAATTGACATTTGTATCCTCTTAATCCTCTTATTATTTTAGTCACATTAAAGATTCTGAAGAGCTTACAATGGATGCATGGTAGGATAGAGGAGTGTCCCACGTCTGCACACATGGCTTTAAACCAAACAGAATTAGAAAAAATATTTTAAAGTTATCTGCTAATTAATACATATGATAGCGATTGTGGCTAGCAAAATGTGCAGATGCCATTTCCAACTAATAATAAATGTTAGAATCCCTTCAACTGCCAGCAACTTCTAATACAGATCACATCCCCTGCACTACAGCTAAGCAATCATCCGACCCTGGTACTAAAATGACATGGTTATTTACTAAAGTGAAAATTGTCTGGGTTTTTCAAAGTGAAATTTACATATAAGACCAAAGTCACTAACTACACTGAAAAAGTTCTCCAAGCCAGTTTTGCTTTCAATTAAGGTACTTTGGCTTTCAATTTGAAATTCACTTTGAGTTCACATTTGCATTATATATGTTGTATACAGTCTGTATATTAGGGAACGCTGCTGTCCTCCTTGTGAAGAGGGTGTTATAGTGCTGCAGGTTCCAGTGAATCCATGTTCAAGTGCATATTTTTTTTTTTTTTTAGAAACCTCCCTTAAATGGGACATCTGGTCAATCGGCTCTGCATATGTCAAATATATAATTTACAAGGGGACGGTGATAAAATATTTTCACCTATCACCCCGTCATCTACTTTCCAGCTATGTGACTCATCCCTCTCATCTCAGTCTATACAGATTTAAGGACAGACTCTCCTCTTGACTATGACTCCCACATCTACTACTAAACAGACAATACATTACCTGTGCAATTATTCCTCATTTGAACGAGTGATAATGTACAGATCACCTGGTGGAGTCTGGAGCCATATATTCACAAAATGTATAAACATTCAAAAGCAACCCCTGCCACCATTTTTTATCACTGTAGCTGAAATAGTTCTTGCCCTGGACTGTAACTCCCTTAATGACAGGTAGCAGTAGGTCATGCATGCACTATACTACTGTTGCACTTATAGTAAAGTCCTCACCTTAATTACCCACTCCCTAACACACTACACTACATATTAACCCCTTCGTTACCCTAATACTACAGTAGACTTTAAACCCTATATAGTCTTAATACACTACGCTAAACATTAAAGGCACACTTTAAAACACCATACAACAACAGCATGCTGTAGTGGTTATAGTAGTGCAGGAGTGCCTGGACGCACCCGCATTTTATTGAGCCATTTTAGAACAATTTCAATTCTTTAGGGTATGCCGGGTGCCGCTCCCTGCCTCTACTACGAACGACAAAATGCTGGAAGCTTCTAAGAATATGCTTCTGTTAGTTCTCCTGAGCTAAGCCCTGTAGTGCAAGGCTAGTTCATGAGTCCAACTGTCCAACGTAGCCCTGCACCCCCAGAGAACTTCAAGCTCCCTGTCTGATGTAGAGAGGTTAGCTAAACTGAGTTTTGTAACGCCTGGCTTAGCTCAGACACAGAGCTTCCAGCTCTCTGTCTGTATTAGTGGAGGCAGGGAATTGTCTCCTAAACTGTTTGACTCCTTACAATTGGGGGGCACCATGGCACTCCTGGCACCGTAACCACTATGAATCCATTACTAAACATTACCCCTACACTACACAATACACTAGACATTACCTCTACACTACCCTAACACAAACCATAAAAGGGACACTATAGTCACCAGAAAAACTATAGCTTAATGTAGGGGTTCTGGTGTCTATAGTATGTCCCTGCAAGCTTACTGCATTTTCAGAGAAAAGGCAATGATTACATTGCTGCTTAGTGATAATTCTAGTGGCAGTCACTCAGACGGTCATTAGAAGTGCTTCCTGTGTCAGTGCTGAACGCTCCCCACAGAAATGCATTGATTCTAAGCATCTTTATGAGGAGATGCTGATTGGCGAAGTGCAGCCTTTCACCGTGCATGCACAATAGCCTCCCAATGCTTTCCTATCTGAAAGCATTGTATTAGCTGAGATCATCGAGTTTGATGATATCGGCCATGGAGGCGAAGCCATCCATGGTGAGTTTAAATACCTTTTCACTGTTCTGACAGGGAGAGCAGGGACCTAAATAGTGGGTTTAACATTATAGCGTCAGGAGTACATGTTTGTGTACTATAGTATTCCTTTACCATTAGACTGCTTTGACATTTACACTAACATAAACCATAACCTACAAATATAATGTAATATAAAAGATATTTAATAGTAAAGCCTGTATTACATGGAAAAATGCTATCTTGGGATTCTGGAGTCATTTACAAACCACTTGACCTTCAGTCTTATGGTTTGTTATGTTTCCAGAACTCATCAATAGCATTATCTTTCAATAATATGCAGTTCACAGTTATGTTACATATACAGAAACATGACAGCTACACTTATCCTAATATACAGGTATCAATACTGTCTCCTACCCTAAGTATACATGACACATATCTCATCTTGGCCTTACACACATAGATCACTCACATACTCCTAATCTATGAAATATATGACATACACCTTGTATCATTTTCTAATACACAGACACAAGGACTATAACATTCACTACTTCCTAAATACATGCCGCCATGGGTGCCCTGATATCTGGGGTTAATCTCTAACCTCCTTCAAATATTATTCACACCTATTATTATTAACCATCAGAAAAAAGAGCATATTTGTTGACCTCATCTTAATACACAAAACTAACACATCACCTCCTATCATTACACAAGCACCCACCCCAAACATTTCTTCTCCTAACACAAAAATCACAAGTGTCTGCTCTCCATATGCAGTTACATTAGGATACATAGCAATCACATCATGAAAAAATGTAGACGTGGAGGCATACCTCCCTCCTTCTCCATATACACAAACTTCAGTAAGTCTACTTCCACCTCCTAATAGAACACAATCAGCCTACAAATCTCCTAATATGCAGACTGGTACATCTGTGAGGCTCAGATACATCTCTCTCCACTGGCTTTTTAGATATGGATTCTAGTTGCTTTGAAAGCTAACAGAAGGCAGATGTGCCAGACAACGCAGATTTAGAAGTGACTGCATTGCACAAGGGAAGGTTAATTATATTTGGGGATCAATGCCTCATGGATAGTATGGTCAGCGATACCCTTCAATTTAGGCCAAGTGAAAAATGCTGCAATAGTTAATTGGTTCTTATGAAATCCCGCATTATGCATTTTTAATAAGACTTATATTTTAATGGGGAATTCTTGCTGTCCTAATTTTGGTTGCTGTGTGAACTACTACCCTAACCACATACAGCGATTAGCCTGACTCCCGATAGTTAGAAGGAGCTACAACAGCAGGTTCTGCTGACCTGAGCTGAGATGCTGCTCTGTGGTGGGGGCACATGAGTAATATGAGAATGACATCATTTGTGAGAGTGGATACTCCCCAGGGAGATGGGGAGTGCAGGAGGAGGGAAAGAAAGCAGCAATCACTTTGAAAGCTCTGGATGGATCCCAGCACACGGCATGCTGGCAGACACCAGGTATGACCGCTTTCGCAACGTCTCAGTAACTTCAACAGAGGAGCAGCAACAACTCGCAGCTGGAGACATGAGTGGACAGGTGGCCCCTGGTTCTCCCACTGCAACACCCTCTCTGGGCCCACCATTCTCAGAGCCACAGTATGCTGAGGAGCAAGATGTAGCAACCACCTTCTGTATGATGATACCTAGGATGGGGCAATGGAAATTTGCAAGCCCAGCTGCTTTTTTAAGTCGCTCCCCATCAGGAGCCAGCAAAGAACTGACACTGGACAAATCTGGGACTGGAGGGGGACTGGGGTCAGTGTTTGGAGCCTGTGATCCCGTATGCTCCACACCTTGTACTCTGCAAGTAATTAACCGGTTGAGAGGGGGTGAAAGAGGGGGAGGGAGGAAGGTTTCACGGACAGAGACATACAAACTCTCAGGTGAAGAGTGGAACCGTAAAGGGACTTTTATCAGCAAACCAGCTCAGGGTTGGCTGCACCCTGATGAACAATTGCAGGGCCCTGGGGTCTCATATATTGTGAGGGTAAGTGTTGTTATAGCATGAAGATGGGAATATATTAAAAGCTAGCTCCACCAGTAAGAGAAATTAATGGTATATTAGGGTGGGATTTTAATTGTGATAAGCCTGATGCATGAAGAAATTAAGGGCAATGAATGCATGCACTTGCAATTACATTTACGTATGTAGCGCCAACATATTCCACAGCGCTGTACAATAGGTAAACAAGACAAACATTTAATTCTAACAAAACAAGTATGACATACGGGAGCAGTAGGTGAAGAGGGCCCTGCCCAAACAAGCTTGCAATCTAAATTCAATGCATATTAGGTGATAGAAGATACAGATTAGAAGAATTGGTAGAATGCATTATCATTTGAGGACAAGATCCACAGGAGGCAGTGGTTAATTGTGTTTAGCACCAAGGTGCTTTTTCTAAGATTACTTAACCCCTTGACTTTGTAACAGGCGCATGACTGCGTGAGTGATACGCCCAAAGCCTTACTGCTTATTACTTTGTTCAAGGCCCTTTAAGAAATGGTGAAGTGCATTAAGGGGTAGTGTTGACCAGTGTTCTTGTGTATTAATCTGTGATTGGCTATCTCGTCTGATTTTTAAAGGTGATTGGAAGAATGCTGATGCAATGTTTTTCTTCTTTTGTTTTGCTATGTGCTGATTGGCTACCGGTTCCTTTGTTTTGAAAGGGTGAGGGGAATCGAGAGATGTCATCATGTGCTTCTAGATTCTAGAACATGTTTTCTGACCTATATTAATAAACCTGTTTCATGACATAACAACTGGTGTCTTACCTACTGGTATATTAAGATGGAATGGCATCTTATAGCATAATGGAGATTCAATGTTAACCACAAACAAATTCATGGTGAACCTGAGTGAGATCAAAATACGTTTATATTTGGAATAATGTATTGCTGTACAATAAATACCAAGAATCATTGTAAATCAGAACACATAATCCCCTGAGTAGTGGTAATAATCAATAACACATTTTAAAGAAATATTTTACTTTTCGTTACTAAATAAACACTAGAAAGAGCAAGTAATTTTATTTTTCTTTAAGGATGATGGGGTGCTAGACTCTGCCCACTTAATGTCATGCACTCAATGAAACATAAAACAGCAAAACCCAATGTAAAATCATGCCCTGTTCATAAGGATACATACAGGAGAGAAACAACAACTACTTTAACCCCTTAAGGACCAAACTTTTGGAATATAAGAGAATCATGACATGTCACACATGTCATGTGTCCTTAAGTGGTTAAAGATGTCCAACTCCACCCCAAATGACAGCACTAAAAAGCAGGACAATGCACAACCCTAACTTTTTGTGCAGGCAAGTCCCGTGCATCCAATGCAAATTCAGTGGTCAATATCAGAAACTCTGTTAAAATAGACAAAGCATCTCTACAACCAGAAAAATGGGGAGTTTTTCACATATTATTGGCTGCACAGCCAATTGTCCAACCCTCAAAAAGGAGGAAAGAAAACTGCTGAACTAATCATGACAGACACAACATCATGTTTTTTCTAACACATGCAACAAAAATGGAATAGGTCAGCTAAGGCCACAAAAGAAGAAGTGCGTTTACAGAACAGCCCCACCTGGTATTTAAGAAAACTTTAGAACAAAAACTTTAGCATGCTGTAGTGGCTATGGTTCCAAGTGTCAAACTGTTCAAGAACTTATCATAAGACACTTAAGGTACTCCTGGCACCATAACTGCTACAGTGTGGTATAGTTCTAACAATGCCTAGACGTCCTTAATGCGTTCCATCTATTCAGTGTGAGATGGTTTTCCACTATTCATACTCTTTCTTTACAGTAATCCAATTTCTCTTTTGTGTTAATTCCTCATACCATAAGGTCCCCTCTACAGCAAATAAGGAAAGGGATTTAGGGGTAATTATTTCTGATGACTTAAAGGTAGGCAGACAGTGTAATAGAGCTGCAGGAAATGCTAGCACAATGCTTGATTGTATAGGGAGAGGTATTAGCAGTAGAAAGAGGGAAGTGCTCATGCCATTGTACAGAACACAGGTGAGACCTCACTTGGAGTATTGTACGCAGTACTGGAAACCATATCTCCAGAAGGATATTGATACTTTGGAGAGAGTTCAGAGAAGGGCTACTAAACTGGTTCATGGATTACAGGACAAAAACATACAAGGAAAGGTTAAAGGAAAGACGAGACAGGGGGCATATGATAGAAACATTTAAATACATAAAGGAAATCTACACAGTAAAGGAGGAGACTATATTTAAAGGGACACTATAGTCACCTGAACAACTTCAGCTTAATGACAAAAAACACATACCTTTTCTCCACCGCCGGGCTGCCTCGGCGGTGGGGACTCTCCGCCTCCTTTCCCGTCATCGGCTGAATGCGCATGCGCGGCATGAGCCGCACGCGCATTCAACCAGTCCACAGGAAAGCATTCTCAATGCTTTCCTATGGACGCTGGCGTCTTCTCACTGTGAAAATCACAGTGAGAAGCGCGGAAGCGCCTCTAGCGGCTTTCAATGAGACAGCCGCTAGAGGCTGGATTAACCCATAGGTAAACATAGTAGTTTCTCTGATGTTTACAGCAGAAAGGGTTAATCCTAGATGGACCTGGCACCCAGACCACTTCATTAAGCTGAAGTGGTCTAGGTGCCTATAGTGGTCCTTTAACAAGAAAAACTACCACAACAAGAGGACATAGTCTTAAATTAGAGGGACAAAGGTTTAAAAATATCAGGAAGTATTACTTTACTGAGAGGGTAGTGGATGCATGGAATAGCCTTCCAGCTGAAGTGGTAGAGGTTAACACAGTAAAGGAGTTTAAACATGCATAGGATAGGCATAAGGCTATCCCAGCTATAAGATAAGGCCAGGGACTAATTAAAATATTTAGAAAATTGGGCAGACTAGATAGGCCAAATGGTTCTTATCTGCCGTCTCATTCAATATTTCTATGTTTCTAAATTCACAAATTCCTCATGGACTCTAATCTTACATATTAGGTGTATTCACTAAATAAGAGGAATAAAGAAATGTCAAGTTGTCACCAAAATAGGTGAGCTGAAAAATAATCAGACTTAGAGATGATTTCTGTTTGGCTGTTAATTTTAGCCTAAGATGTCTGGTTTAGTGAATAAACCACACAGGTTATCAACCTTTAAAAAAAAAAAAATCAGAAAGAGTGGCAGTATTAACTATATTCATTTCAAAAATGTAATAATTTTAGTTAAAAGTGCTAAACATTTACAATGCTTAGCAATACAATCACCATATCAACAAGTACAACATCTAGGTCCACAACCTCTTTAGATTACCTTGTTTCATTAACATGTATAGTATATTTGTCACTGCACTTGAACCTGAAACTATCTTTTAATATTTGCCAATAAAACAAATCACCATATTATCTGGTGTCTGGGTGTATGAGAGACATCTACAGTGTATCTATGTAAACTGGTGACCTGTACTAATTGGTTAGTTTTCTTAGCACCTGATCCAAGGAGAGAAGAACACAATTTTCACCATCTAGAAATCTTAGATAACAATACATCAAGCAGGAGCTCCCAATGTTGCCCTTGAAGACTCAAGATGGTGTGTATTTTCCCCGTATTCCTTTTTGAACAAAACACACGGTTACCATGGCACACCAAGAACAAGCCAGGGGATCCAATATGTCCAGTGTGTGTATTGCTTTAAACCCGAGGAAGAGATTAAAACTCTTAAAAGCTTGTCTTTAAAATATTATATTGGTCCAATAAAAAAAGGTATCATTGAATACTACAAAATACTCAGGTATTTTGGCAAAAATAAATAAATAAATATATATATATATATATATATATATATATATATATATATATATATATATATATATATATATATATATATATATATATACACACACACACACACACAATATATATACACAATATATACACACACACACATATATATATCTATCTATCTATCTATCTCACATATTTTCCATATGTAAAGGTAGCAGTAAGAATTAACGATTTATTGTTAGTACTTAAAGATAAGAATTTGAGATGTCCAGCTTAGACCTAATTTATAAATTCCATCAATCAAGACCAAGTCATAAAATCCTAGAATGCATTTGTCCTTTATTATAGAGCTGTGTGTGTGGTATGTTGAATGATGAGTATATTCTTAAATGATACTTGTAGAATTGGGGGTTTAGGGAAGAGAGTACTTACAACCAGTCCCAGAAGGATGGAGTCATTACATCACTCAAGAGATGATGAATATTTTTACTCAAATAGCACTAGGTAGAGTTAGATCATTTTAGAAATGGCATTGTTAAAGAGAGAGAGTTTGCCAGCCTAAATTCTCTAAAATCCAAAGTAATATATTTGGAGAAGGCAAGCTAACATTTGCTAAAACAGAATGAGAGATTAAGAACATCTTTACAGTATCTGCCAAGAGGGAGAGGGGCTCCTTATATGTCTCATTTTCTGGCATCACTCAAAACAGCTGGTTAATTAGATTACCTTTCTCTGAAGCCAGATGCAGGACACAAATCTAGAGAGGTGGAAGGAGGGAGCAGAAAGAAAGACAGAGCTGAATGTGCAAATAAAGGCCCATAGAAACAAACGTTTGCATTACAAACATTTGAACAAAAAAAATTTGATCAGAAAGTTCTTTTTTTTGTCATGTTTTATGCATTGATTTTTATATGAATACTGAAATAATCACAGTGTACTTAAAAAAAAAAAAACATTTTTTTTTTTAGTAATATTAGGCATAAAAATAAACTAATACAAGCATTAAAAAACAAAACAAAAAAACTGTATTAAAGTCGCTCTATAACCAAAAATTTACTTAATCTGATCAGTTACATATGGCTAGCTCCCAGTGTCTGAATCGGTTTTTGTTTTTTGCCAAGTGCTGTAGTTTTCAAAATATACATAAAAAAGGCAAGGGCTTCTTTTCCTTACGTATAGCAGTCAAGTTGACAAAACTACAGGTAGAGCTGAAAGCACTGATATGTTTCAGTTCCAATCAAGTGTCGACCACAATTCATGAACAAAAATAATCCCACAAAAGGGACAACAGCATACATCATGGCCAGAAGAGAACAAAATGTCTGCACCCAGATATTGAGATCCAGTGCAATGAAAAAAGATAAACATAAATAAATGCAAGTGTCAAGGAGTGTTATCATTGAGATACAGGGACCATAAGGAAAGGAAGAAAAAAACACTACAGGGCTGCTTTAACTCCTTAAACAGCGGGCATACTATGCTGCCCTTAGGGACCCGATCCTAAACGCCGGCAGGTGGCATAGTACGTCCTTGCTGTCCTTTCCACTCACCTGTTCACCATCGATCTCCCGCCAGCAATCGCGATGGGGAGAGTTGCCAGGCAGTCCCCCTGTGGATGATCCGGCCCTCCCGGGCCATTTAATGGTGATGACTATCGATCACATGGACGGAATAACCGTCCAAAGCAGTGTCTGCAGGGGCCTGCCTGGAATAACAGTCAGTCCCCCTGATACCTGAAACAAAGTTCAATGACGATTAAAGTTTAAAAGTAAATTAAATATACTTAGATCACATATGAGGAAGACCTGAAGAGGTCGAAACGTCGATCAGATGTATGTTACCTGTTATTAAATAATATCGAGTTTTTTTACAAAGACCTGAGAGTGCATCTCTTTCCTTTTTGCTTTACATATCCAGCGTGGGATTGCACCAAGGCAGTCTTTTACTGATTCATTGAAAGGGTGAGTGCCACTATACTTGTATATGTGTATACATATATATATACACACACATATATATATATATATATATATATATACACACACATACATACATACATACATACACACACACATACATTATGTCTCTAAGTGTATTTTAATATTAATTTTATTAATATTAAAATACACTTAAAATTATATTAATTTTACATATATAAAATAAATTAATACAAATTATATATACATTTGTAATGTCATTCTAATTGTATTTTGATATGGTTATTTAAATTTTTTTATATATATATATATATATATATATATAATTAATTTGACCGTATGGTAGCCCAGGAATGATAACTGCCCCCATGATGGTATACCTTTAAAAAAAATAGGCAAGCCAAGGTATTGCAAATGGGGTATGTCCAGTCTTTTCTAGTAGCCACTAAAAGTAAACACTGGCCAAAATTAGCGGTAAAATTAGTTTTTTGCATTTTTTACACACACATAAATATGAACGCTAACTTTGGCCAGTGTTTGTCACCTTCACCTTCTCACCAAGATGCTTGGCGATGGTCTTGTAGCCCATTCCAGCCTTGTGTAGGTCTACAATCTTGTCCCTGACATCCTTGGACAGCTCTTTGGTCTCGGCCATGGTGGAGAGTTTGGAATCTGATTGATTGATTGCTTCTGTGGACAGGTGTCTTTTATACAGGTAACGAGTTAAGATTAGGAGCACTCCCTTTAAGAGAGTGCTCCTAATATCAGCTTGTTCCCTGTATAAAAGACACCTGGGAGCCAGACATCTTGCTGATTAATATGGGATCAAATACTTATTTCATTCATTGACATGAAAATCGATTTATAACTTGTGTTGACATGCGTTTTTCTGGATTTTTCCTTTTGTTATTCTGTCTCTCACTGTTAAAATACACCGACCATTAAAATTATAGGCTGATCATTTCTTTGTCAGTGGGCAAATGTTCAAAATCAGCAGGGGATCAAATACTTTTTTCCCTCACTGTAAATAATGGTTGAACAAGCATAAAGCACAAATTCTAGGTTTTGTTTTGGTCAAAATGTGTACATTTGCCTCTGTCTTTAAGGGGTTAATATCAATGTGTAAATGCAGAGTGTCAATGTGTGTGTATGAAAATAGTGGTATGTTAGTGTGTGACCCTCCAGTTGTCTCTTTATTAGTATCCCAATCACCAGATATGTTTTTCCCAGTATTCCAACACCACTTGTTCCCTTATTTATCTATCTATCCCACCCCACTTGTGCTCCCTGTAATCCTACCTTCTATCCCAACCTCCACTTGACCACCTCTATATTCCACTCTCACTTGTGTCTCTCCCTTTATTTCACCTCATCTCATGTCTTCCCTTCTATTTCATCTCCCCACTTCTGTGTCTTTATCTCCCACATACCTGACAGGCTGGGTGCATGCTGCTGGCTCCTCATGGTCTCTGCACATATTTTAGTAGCTTCTAAGCATTCTCATTGTGGAAGGGTGGGGCTATGATGTAAGATCCTTTCCCTGCCTATCTCCCCACACTGGAACAAAACAGTTTCAACTTATCTTGCCTAAAAGAGATGAAAAAGCAGATGGCTATCATGCAACTGCAATGAAGGAAGAATTAAAGGGGCTTTTGAAAAAAAATTCCAAGGACACTTTGAGGCACAGATATCAATTACTACCTTGAAAATTTACTACCAGGGCCGGCGCTACCTGTAAGGCGACCTAGGCAGCCGCCTAGGGCGCAACTTAGCAGGGGGTGCTGGAACGCTGCGTCTTTATCTCTCACATACCTGACAGGCTGGGTGCATGCTGCTGGCTCCTCATGGTCTCTGCACATATTTTAGTAGCTCCTAAGCATTCTCATTGTGGAAGGGTGGGGCTATGATGTAAGATCCTTTCCCTGCCTATCTCCCCACACTGGAACAAAACAGTTTCAACTTATCTTGCCTAAAAGAGATGAAAAAGCAGATGGCTATCCTGCAACCGCAATGAAGGAAGAATTAAAGGGGCTTTTGAAAAAAAATTCCAAGGACACTTTGTAATACAGATATCAATTACTACCTTGAAAATTTTCTATCAGGGCCGGCGCTACCTGTAAGGCGACCTAGGCAGCCGCCTAGGGCGTAACTTAGCAGGGGGCGATGGATCCCTGCGCCCGGAATCACCGGTGCGGCTCCTCATGTTGCGCCACCTGAGCACTTTTACAAGCCTCAGGCGGCGCAGCACTGCTGTATGGAGGGCGGCCGGATTTGAGTGACCGGCAGGAGGGAAGCGCAGAGCGCTCCCTCCTGCCGGTCACTCTATGTAGCGTGGCGGCCGGGTACAGGAAACAGAAGTAGGCAGGAAGGAAGAGGAGGGTAAGGACCACTAGGGGAGGGGGGAGGGTAAGTACCAATAGGGGAGGGGGGTAAGGTCCACTAGGGGAGGGGGGACCACTGGGGAGGTGTGGAGTAGTAGGACCACAGGGGTAGGGAGTAAGGACCACTGGGGGAGGGTGGGTGGAAAGTAAGGACCACTGGGGGAGGAGGGGGAGTAAGAACCACTGGGGGAGGGTGGGGGTAGTAAGGACCACTGGGGAAGGGGGGTGAAGGAACACAGGGGGAGGGCTATGGGGAGTAAGGACCACTGAGGGAGGGGAGGTAAGGACCACTGAGGGAGGAGGGGGGGAGGTCCACTAAGGGGTTTGGGAGAGGGAGGACCACCAAAGGGGGGGAAGGAGGGAGGACTACTAAGGAGAGGGGAGGAGGGTAAGGACCACTAAGGGGAGGGGATAATGAACACTGGGGGGGGATTACCACTAAGGGGATGGGGGAGGAGGGGAAGGTCTACTAAGGGGTTTGGGAAAGGGAGGACCACTAAGGGGTTTGGGAGAGGGAGGACCACTAAGGGGAGGGGTGGAGGACCACTAAGGGGGGGAGGGGGAGTGAAAAGACCACCAAGGGGGAACTGCAGAGGGACAGGGGGCCAAGGGAGAGCACTAAGGGACAGAGGGGGAGAACACGGAGGGACAGGAGGGAAGGGGAAATCAATAATTGACAGGAGGGGAGAGCACTATGAAATATTTTTTTTTTAAATAAAGAGCTGCTCCCCTCTCAGTCCCTATCCTACCCCACAAACCCTCTCTTTTACACTACACATATACACAATGCATCCCCCCCACACACACACACAAAAACATACAATGCATTCCTACTAACACAAAGACACACCCGAAACACACAATGCATCCCTTTCCCACGTTCACACAAACACTCATTCTCTTACACACAGAAACAAAATGCATCTCTTACACAATCAATGCACCCCTTACAGACACACACTGCATTCAATTACATACACAGAAACACACCTTGCACCCCTTACACACACACACCCAGAAACATACAATGCATTCCTTACACGCAAACACACACTGCATCCCCTATTAACACACTACATCCCTTACACAAATTGGTATCCCTTTACACTACATTCAATAAGAACACACACATTGCATCCTCTACAATAACACATAAAACATCCCCTACACACATACACTCCACTTCCTGTGAGAGAACTCATGGGTGGGCCATGTAGGTTGATTTATGGGTGGGCATTGTAGGCATACTCACGGTCAAGCCCTTGGGGCCCAGACCTTGAGCTGTGTAAGGGGCCCTAAAAAATGGAGCTGCTTCCTGTTCATTAATTGTTGTGAGCACTGTTAAATCCAGAGAGCCTCTTCTACACCAGACCTGTGGAGCCACACTGAGCCCATCATCAGCCTCTTGTCCTCACCTGGTGGTAAGTAGGCAATCCAATATATTATTAGTGGCACTAATGTCTAATTTACTACCCCCACATTAAATGGATACTATAGTCACCAGAAGCACTACAGCATAATGTAGTGGTTCTGGTGTCTATAACCTGTGCCTGTAGGCTTTTTAATGTAAACAGAGCGGTATATTGCATAATATTTGAAAGAGGAAAGTTCCTTAAATTGCTAAAATACTAATTACAATGTGTACTGTGTCTGACCTAGTTATTCAGGCACAAAGATATACAGACACACAGTCACAAAAGGCACACATTCAAACAAACACAGTACTACAGGCACATAATCATACAATCTGCACACACAGGTACGTTGTCATACAGACATACAGTCATACAGAGACACACACAGACACTCTCATACAGAGACATACAATGACATACAGACATAGGGTTACAGACACTGTTCTACACAGACATACAGTCATAGTGTGACGTACAGACACAGTCATACAGAGGCATACAAACACAGTGATACAGACACTGTCCTACACAAACATACAGTCATACAGTGATATACAGAAACAGACATACAGAGACAGTCATACACAGACATACAGACATAGTCATAAAGACACACATGCAGTTACATACAGACAAACAGAGACACGGTCATATAGAGACATACAGACTTAGGCATAGAGACACAGACATACAGACACTGTAATGCACAGTCATATTGACATACAGGCACAGTCATACAAACATTGTCATAGACAGACATACAGACACAGTCAGACACAGACATTCAGACTCAGGCATTCAGTCACACATGCAGTTATAACTAAGAAGTGTAAATAAATGTTGCTGTATATTTATTTTTTTATGTCCCCTTCATTACTGGCAGGTCTGCTCTCCCTCTATAAACCCTCTCTGTAGGGAGACCTGGCTACTTACAAGTTGTACCGCTCTGTGTCTGTTTGTGGAGGGTTGCTTCAGAGCTGTAAGTCTGCAGACAGCCGGGAGGGAGGACCCGGGGGAGATCTAACCTGCAGCTCCGCTGGGTTCTCCTCTAGCAAGCGCGGAGTGTTGCCACCTTTACCATGATTACCACAGTAATGCTCCGAATCTCGCGAGAGGGAACTCTAGCAGCTCCTGAGGCTGCTAGAGTTCACTCTCACCACCAGGGCCCCCAGGGCTTCCCCACCAGGACCACCAGGGATTAGTCTTGTCCCCCTCTCCCAGGCAAAGGTAAGCAGGAAGGGGGGACATCATTTTTATTTTTAATTTAAAAAAATAAAGTGTATATTTATTAATTTGCCCTCCTACCCCCACAGACCCCACAGCACCAAATAGCACCCACATACACACACTGCCCCCCCATACACACACACTGCTCCCATACACACACTATCCACATACACATACACTGCCACCCCATACACACACACTGCCCCCGCATACAGACACACTGCCCCCATACACACACACTGCCCCCCATACACATACTGCCCCCATACACACACAGCCCCCGATACACACTCTACTCCCCATACACACACTACCCCCATACACACACTCCCCCCCAGATACACACAATTGCCCCACCATACACACACACTGCCCCGCTTACACATGCGGGAGCAGTGGGAGCATGCACACCTGAGCTCTTCCGCTTAATGAAGCTGGGAGCCGGAATATGACGTCACTCCAGCTCCAGGCATCACCAGGCATCACCAGACCCCACAGCACCAAATAGCACCCACATACACACACTGCCCCCCCATACACACACACTGCTCCCATACACACACTATCCACATACACATACACTGCCACCCCATACACACACACTGCCCCCGCATACAGACACACTGCCCACATACACACACACACTGCCCCATACACATACTGCCCCCATACACACACAGCCCCCGACACACACACTCTACTCCCCATACACACACTACCCCCATACACACACCATCCCCCATACACACATATTTGTCACCATACACACACACTGCCCCGCTTACGCATGCACTGCCCCCATACACACAACTACCCCCCATACACACACACACTAACCCCATACACACACACTACCCCCACACACACTGTACCCCCCCAGAGATGTATTTATCGCAAGTCAAACAAGGCATTTGCCTTGGGAGGCACTTTTCAGGGGGGCACCCCCAAACGCCAAAGGCAGATCCCTTGCTTGCCTCGTGTCCTGGGTGGCTCAAGGGCTGGCCACTTTTGAGCCCCCCGAGGTGGGTGGCAGGCGGCGGGCAGCGAGGGAGCATGCACACCTGAGCTCTTCCGCTTAATGAAGCTGGGAGCCGTCTCCAGGCATCACTAAGCGGCGCACATGGGAGCTGAACAGGAAAATCAGAGCTCCCTCACCGCCCACTCTGCCTGTCCCCGTCCCCCCACCCCACCTGCCCGCCCAGCAGTCCCACTGGACCACAGGTAAGTAATCCACTCCTGCTCTCCCAGGGAGGCTGGGTGGATTTAAATTAAAATAAAAAAATAATAATTTGTGAGTGTTGGGGGAAAAGTGTGTGTGTGTGAGTGAATGTGTGTATGTGTGTAAGTGTTTATGTGTTTGTTTCTGTAAGTGTGTGTCTAAGTGAATGTGTGTGTGTGTGTCTGTAAGTGTGTGTGTCTAAGTGAATATGTGTGTGTGTGTCTGTAAGTGTGTATGTGTGTGTCTGTAAGTGAATGTGTGTGTGTGTATCTGTAAGCGTATATGTGTGTGTGTGTCTGTAAGTGTGTGTGTCTAAGTTAATGTGTGTGTGTCTGTGAGTGAATGTGTGTGTGTCTATCAGTAAGTGTGTATGTGTCGGTCAGTGAGTGCGTGTGTCTGTCAGTGAGTGTGTTTGTCAGTGCGTGTGTCTGTCAGTGCTTGCGTCTGTCAGTGCGTGCATCTGTCAGTGTGTGCGTCTGTCAGTGAGAGTGTGCGTCTGTCAGTGAGTGTGAGTCTGTCAGTGAGTGTGCATCTTTCAGTGTGTGTCCGAGTAATAGTGTGTCTGTCTATCAGTGTGTCAAATCAGTGAGTGTGTGTGTATGTCATTGTTTTTCAGTGTATATTAGAGTGTGTGTCTGTCAATGACTGTATGCATCTATCAGTGAGTGTGTGCGTCTGTCAGTGAGTGTGCGTCTGTCACTGAGTGAGCGTCTGTCAGTCAAAGTGCAGCCTTGACAGGAAGGAGTGGGGAAAGTCTAAATTAGGAGGGGTGCCCAAGCACCGTCCTGCCTAGGGCAGCACAAATCCAAAATACACTGTGATGGGATTTCAACATGGTTCAAAATTTAGTAGGCCTGAAATCTCCATGTGGCATATACAAGTACAGGTGTTTGTTGTATCTGTTAGTTAGTTACATGTAGCTAAGATACTGTCATCAATGTACTGAGCATGTGCATCAACTGTAGTCACATTCCTTTGTCCTTAAAAGGAGTCATACGGTCTGCCCATATTAGATGATCCTGAATATCCTGTTCACTGATTGGTCTAAGGGTATGTGTGAGTGGAGCTATGAATGGGAGGAGTTATTGTTAATAAATAGCCTGTGCAAACTATGCTCTGGGCTCATACCTTTTGAACACAAGTTCAGTGTGAGACCCGATTGGTGTGTAAATAAAAGACCTGATACTTCCTGAAGAATTGTGTCCATATCTCTATGTGTGGCTTCTGCGGTTTGTTACTGTTATTCCTCCGGTAACAACACCACTGACCCCCCCCACACACACACTGTACCCCTCACACACACTTTACCCCTCATGCACAAACTGCCCCACATACACACACACACTGCACCCCTGTACACACACACACACTGCACCCCTGTACAAACACGCACACTGCACTCCTGTACAAACACGCACACTGCACTCCTCACACACACACATATTGTGTTTTATATAGACCTCCTATAGACTGTAAGATCGTTTGAGCAGGGTCCTCTTCAACCTATTGTTACTGTAAGTATTCTTGTAATTGTCCTATTTATAGTTACATCCCCCCTCTCATGATATTGTAAAGCACTACGGAATCTGTTGGCGCTATATAAATGGCAATAATAATAATAATATTGAACCCCTCACACACATATTGCACCTCCCACACATACACAAACACACACACACACACTACAGCCCCTATCCCGGCAGTCCACACTCTGGGAGGGCACTACTGGCACCATAACTACTACAACGTTATGTAGTGATTATTGTGCCTGGATTGTTTCTTTAAATAATCTACCAGTACCATTCCCAAGATTAGGGGCCCGGTATATGCCGCAGCGCTGTACATATATACAACCTAAAAAAGGGTGCCTTTGAAAAATATTGAAATATTAAGGGCGCCTTGAATCTAAAAAGTTTGGGGACCTCTGGGTAATCCCTAAATCCTGGACTGGTAGGGGTACTTGAGGACTGGGTTGGGAACCCCTGCTCTAGACCATACTGGTTTAATTTTTGTGTCATGTTCACCGACAATGAAGGATAGAACCATGTTGAAGAGAGGCAGGACATGGCTGCTGAACGTTGTGGCATTAAATGCCATCTGAATAGCATTTTGTATGCCTGCTCTTTATATGTTACACAGCTGGTGATTGAATCAATTGCCTCTCAAATGTCAGACAAGTCTGTAGGTTTGTCAGGGGTTCCCAAGTCCTTTTCTCATGCAGTAATATAGGGTAGAAAAATCTGAGTTGAGGTAAGTGTAAGGCTAGAGAGATGTATATGTAACGGCTACCCAGGTAGTAAGAGGGTATCAGCCATTGGAGGCGTCCTTTTCTTCCAGGCAAATCGCTGTATCGTTATGGAGTCGCTCATTCCCATCCGCTGGATCCAAGGCAGGTGTCAGGTAGAGCTCTTAAAAGAGCTAAGTGATTATGCTGCATATTCCCTTTCAAGAACGAGACAAGGCTACGTTTTGAAGGGTCAAGAAGAACTGGCTTTTAATGGCAGGCACTCTCTTTTTATTTGATTCTGCCCATAAAAGGGAGACACCCACATAATTAACAAAACAATCAATAAAACATAAGGTACATCCCACACATCTCCTCCCCTCAAATAAGCTTGTAACACAATTATGAGAGACTTATTTTTCCCCAAGTTTTGGATGTTTTAGCCCTATTCTGGAGGAACAACATACTAAAAATTCAGCTCATTTGGTTCAGCGGTTCGGGAGATATGGAGCTTTAAAGTTTTGACTGACTGCACTGGCAAAGTGGCCGAAAATAGTTCCATTAGTTTTGGCCTTGCGGTTGGTCTTTGTTTGTGCGTAAAAAGTCCCGAACGGCTTGCCATCCGTGCATAACCCGACGTTTGCCAGAATCCCCATAGGCTATTAAGTCTTTCTCCCGAACAGCAGGTTGTTCGGTAGTTGTAGCGCGATTTCCAGGTGCTATGGAGGTCTCAGCGGTGTTCGCCTACTCGAGTGTCCGATTTTAGTTCCAGACACTCGACGGCAAAACACCGCTGTTCGGGAGTTAAGATGGCTGCGAACACGTGTAAGTCCCAAAATGGTGGCCACCCAGGCACTTCGCAAAGCCTTCGTGGGTTTTCTATGCGAAAGTACTTGTGGATCAGGGAGGTAAATTACCCATAATTGGGGAGCATGGTGGTCCGGTAGTTTGCATTCGTATGATGAATGCTTCAAATGTCCCCAACTGGTGCATAGTAAAATCCCCATAAAAGCAGGTTAAGCTCTTCTATTTGTTACAGTATATGTCAGAAATGTGTCCTTTCCTGGCTCGGGAGTGTAGACATTCATTTTTGAAGGGGGTTAATTGGGACGTCTTTGAATGGGGTTAAATTGGGCGTCCCAATTAACCCCCTTCAAGGGTAGGGAGAAAGGTAGAGAATGCAAAACTGAGAATTTGTATGTAAAATAATAAAATGTTGTGCGAAATGAGTAGTCAGGGATTCCAGATAAATCTATAACTTTGCAGTTAATGTAAAGTTTCCTAAGTCTAGTGATGACTCTGTCTTTTGATTTTAAAGCATATATGCTGTCAATGCAGGTAAAAACAGTGCACTCTTTACATTTTGAAGATTCCACACCTACCAGTAGCTGTCATTCAGACAGCAATTAGGGGCTTCAGTCTGAAATAAATTCAGGTATTGAGAGAGCAAGAGACAGGTATGTAAGGTAGAGGTTAATCTGGGAGGTCATAAGCTTTCCTAAAAAGATGGGTTTTAAGGCACTTCTTAAATGATGGAAAACTAGGGGAGAGTCTAATGGCAGTAGGCAGGCTGTATAGTTGCGAGAAGTGGACAAGAGAAGGTCATGGGCAGAACGGAGAGACAGAGAAGGGGCATACCTATGGATCTGTGAAGAGATATAAGAGGGGCTAGGATTGTTCAGTGCTTTATAGGTATAGGTTAGCACTTTAAATGGACTCCTATAGGATACAGGAAGCCAATGTAAGGACTGACACAGGGGTGAGGTGTGAGAGGACCGACTAGAGAAGAAAATCAGTCTGGCGGCAGCATTCATTACAGACTCTAGCAGGGCAATATGGCTTTTGGGAAGACCAATTAGGAGAGGGTTACAATAATCCATGCGGGAAATTACTAGAGTATGGACAAGCTCCTTGGTAGCATCTTGCGTAAGAAAGAGGTGGATACGGGCTATGTTTTTAAGATGGAATCTACAGGATTTGGCAACATACTGGATGTGAGGCTCAAAGGTGAGGCCAGAATCAAGTATGATGCCAAGACAGCGCTCTTGCAAGGATGAACTTGTGTGGATACCACTATATTTGAAGGGGGAATGAAAGAGGAGGATCAGTATTGGGAGGAGGAAAGACAAGGAGCTCAGTTTTAGAGAAATTGTGTTTCAGAAAGCAGGAGGACATCCAGTCAGAGATGGAAGAAAGGCAAGCAGTGACACATTGCAGGATGGCAGGGTAGAGGTCCGGGGTGGAGAGATATTTCTGGGTGTCATCAGCGTGCAGGTGGTAGTGGAATCCAAAAGAGGTAATAAGTTTGCCAAGAGAGGCAGTATGAAGAGAAAATAGAAGGACAGAACCTTGGGGGACTCCAACCGAGACAGGACGAGGGGAGGAGGTATCTTTAAAAGAGGAGACGCTGAATGTGTGTTGGGAGAGATAAAAGGAAAACCACGAGAGGACAGAGTCACAGAGACTGAGTTATTGAAGAGTTTGAAGAAGGAGAGCATGATCAACGGTGTCAAAGGCAGCAGAGAGGTCAAGAAGAATTAGAATGGAGTAATGGCCTTTGGATTTAGCTGCGATTAGGTCATCAGTAACTTTGATAAGAGCAGTCTCAGTAGAGTAGAGAAGGCGGAAGCCAGATTGAAGAGGATCAAGGAGAGAGTTGGAATTGAGGAAGTGAGACATACGGCTAAAGACAAGTCTTTCCAGAAGCTTTAAGGAAAAAGGGCCAAGAGATGTTTATTTAGGATAGGTACAACAGTGGCATGTTTAAGGTCAGCAGGGACAACGCCAGAAGAGAGAGAGCAGTTGAAGATGTGTGTTAAGGAAGGCGCAAGACATGGGGAGAGAGATCTGCTAAGGTGAGATGAGATAGGATCGAGGGGGCAAGTGGTGGGGCGAGAGGAAAGGAGAAGTGCAGCCACCTCTTGTTCAGTAGCCAGGGAGAAGGTTTGAAGGTTAGGAGAGAAAGAGAAAGGCAGGGTGGGGAGAATTCTTTCCTTTGGTGTTCAACCTTGTTGGTAAAGTAACATGCAAAGCTATTGGCTGAAAGTGTAGTTGGGGGGGGGTGGCCACAGCAGGGCAAAGAAGATAATTAAAGGTGTCAAAGAGATGCCTGGGATTGTGGGAGCATGACCTAATGAGAGAGGAAAAGTATGACTGTTTGGTGAGGGCAAGGGCTGCGTTATATGAACACAAAATTAATCTATAATGGAGAGAGTGTGACTGGGTGCGGGATTTCCTCCAGGAGAGTTCAACACAACGGGAGCATCTGAATACACACAGTGTGTGTATGTGAGGGGTGCAGTGTTTGTATGTATTTGAGGGGTGCAGTGTGTGATGGGTGCAGTGTGTGTAAGAGGTGCGCTGTGTGTAAGAGGGGTACAATATATGTGACAGGGGTGCAATGTGTATGGGGGGTGCGTTGTGTGTGTGAAGGGTGTGCTGTGTGTGCGAGGGGTGCTGTGTGTGAGGGGGGTGCTGTGTGTGTGTGAGGAGGGTGCTGTGTGTGTGAGATCTATAGCCTGCAGCAGTTCCCCTGGCTGCAAGATGTCTCAGTCCTCCCGCGAGCAAAAGGCTGTGTTGGAGGAATGAGACAGCTGCAGGCCTCCCAGGTTCTCCCTCTTCTGCAGCCCTGGGTCCTATCTCCCACCCTCCCTCTTACCAGCGAAGGGCCTTTGGGCTTGTGAGGGAGATCATTGATCCCACCGGCCCAAGAGGGCCCAAAGGAAAAGTGCAGTGATAACTTGGTTTGTACAGAATCCATCTTCTTGTAAGATTTATTTTTTGGGGGGGTGGTAAAGGCGTACAAAAACGCATTTTTGCATAGAAAAAATAAAAATTTTTTAGCAGTGACAATACAATAACAGACAATAGACTTTTGAATGTCTTATTGCACATTACTTGTAATGTAATAGTGTCCTAAATACACATACTTTGGGAGTCCTTTTATAATTAATCATAACTGACAGTTAGATTTGCTTATACAATAAATTGTACAACATAAAAATAGACCAAACCTAAACATCTTAATTTATATCTCTAAACTGTATTGTAAAAGGCATGCAAGAAAATAAATCTGGTTAGAAAACGTTTTAGAAAATATAGTTTAATGAAGAAATACATAATCTATGGAATTCATGACTATTTTTTTAACTGCATCATGGATTGTGAAAGCATTGCAATAATAATTGTATGAATTTTGAAAACAGTTTCCTCTGGAGCTCTGTTACCAAGGTCTTGAAAAACAAGCTTTTGTTTGACATTTACTGTACGCTTCATAGAATTACAAAAAAAATGGTGAGGGATTTTTCTTTTTTATAACTACTTTGTTTTCTCAAGGCTTGTTAAATTTAGACTGTGCTATCTTTACATACCGTGCCTTGTCAGACTGCGTCCATCTGTCTGCAAGTCAGGCAGTATTTGCTCACTCTATTACTGAGACAATTCACTGTTATAATGTCTGTGTATTATTTTTTACATTTCATCTTTCTTTGACCCTAATGGAGGCTCTGTCACTCTTTCTTCTTCCAGTATATGGGTTGCATTGAAGTGCTAAAATCAATGAGATCATTGGATTTTAACACACGAACCCAAGTGACAAGGTGAGTGACATCTCCGTATGACATAAATAGACAGCTACAAGCATACAGAAGAAAATATAAGCCTAAATATTATAATTTCCAAGAGTTACTTTTTATGTTACAGAGAGGCCATCAACCGGCTTTACGAAGCTGTTCCGGGAGTGAGAGGAACTTGGAAGAAAAAGGTGAGGTTCTGCATTATACCAAAGTCAGCAGCTAAGGAACTGGCAATTAATTTTATGATATTGTCTAAGCCTGAACATTACCTGGTTATGTTTGTCTGAATGATATTTTTAAAGAATACGGTTTGTTTTCTTACAGGCCCCAAATAAAGCCTTGGCATCAATCTTAGGCCGGAGCAATCTTCGATTTGCAGGAATAAGCATTGCTGTTAATATATCCATTGAAGGATTGAATCTCAGCATACCAACTACCAGACAGGTCAGCATTTGTTAAAGCCACTTATTAGTATCCATGTATCACATCATGACTTCTATGTACATTGATCAGAATTTTACATCACCACATTACTCGCAAGGGAATGAACTCACACAATTTAAAATAAAGTTTACCTGTGATTACTAATGATTACCTGTTAATATAGTGATCTTTTTGAATCACTAGAGTGCCACAGTAAAAAGTAATTTGGATGTGGCAAAGTCCCAGCCATTACAGATTTTCTTGGCAATTTGTACCCCAAAAAAGTGCAAGTTGCTTGAACAAGACACAATTTCGATCTTGTTTCGATCTAAGGCAGACTATGTCCGGTCCTTGGTCAGTGACCGAGGATCCGACACCAGGAGGGGGCCCGGCAGCTAGCTCTGTATGCGAGACCCCTCCAGTCTGCCCGGCCGGAGAGCGCCAATCACAGACTCAGGTCTGCAGCTCCGCAATGTGCAGAGCTGTATACCATGTGTCTTGTGAGACCTGGCCAATCAGAGCGTTGTCGCGGGTTACAACAGCAACGCTCTGACTGGATCTCGCGATATACATGGTCTGCAGCTATGTGGAGCTGCAGACCGGACATTATGGCCACTGGACCACCAGGGAACTAAAAAAAGGTATTTAATCCCTTACCAGCACCCCCCTCCCTCCCTTACAACATTATTACCCTCCCTCGCTCCATCAATACCCCCTCCCTCACACCATCAATAACCCCCTCTCTAACACCATCATCAGCCCCCTCACTCCATCACTAACCCCAATCCATCAATGCCCCTCCCTCACACCATCATCACCCCCTCACTCCATTAATACCCCCTCCCTCACACCATCAATATCCACCCCTCGTTCACACCATTAATACCCACCCCTCCTTCACACCATCAATACCCCCCCTTCTTTACACCATCATCAACCCCCTGCCTCACACCATCAATACCCCTACTTCACACCATGATCACTCCCCTCCCTCAGCTCACTGACACACAAGATCATTGAAACGCACATGCTCACTACACACAAGATCACTGACACAAACACACACACTCACTACACACACACACACATGCACTCACTACACACACACTTACTACACACACTCACTACAGACACAATATTTAAACTCTACCTGGCACTGGAGGCTGTGAGCGATGACATTTTCTCTGGGAGGCCATTTTCAGACCTCTTCCTACAGCAATGTCTGCTGCTTGAGTGCGGGAGGTGGAGCTTCACATTCCTTGGTAAAAATTATTTAAATAAAACATTAGGGCTTCCTGCTGGCTCCAGGTGTCGTGGCCCAGCGGGAAAAAAATTCCGGTATCATGGTGGGCCAGTCCGGTCCTGCTTGTGACAAACACTCCTTACCATGGATGTTTGATATGGACTCTTGTAGGCGTGCCGGCCTCCTGCCCACTGACTATGGTCCAGGTGTGGGACATCTTTTGGGAGTTACCCTGCCCAGCCGCCACTAGTAGCTTTCCCTGAGTGCCCCTGGTTCGGCACTTTCCCTTCATGCAAATAGAACCGAACGCTGGCTCTCTGGTGGCGTTCGCATGAACCAAACCCACGAATAGTCCCAGCGGTACTACCGCTGCGACCGCTATGGAACTAAATTCAGAATGAGGACTTCGTACATTCCCAGTCACCTCAGCGCGACTTAGCAGCGAATGTTATGGAACTGTTTTCAGCATGAAGTGACCGTGCGGTTCCCAGACAACTTGGTTTGCAGTATTTAACAACTTTGAATTCCACCAAGAGAGAGCTTTTTGGAGGGAAGGTGCCTGAGACGTAGGGGAACAAACGCTGCCTAGGAGCCAGGTGGAGCACCCTGTATTGCAGCCACAGGATGATCAGCAAATGCACCAAAACCCTGGAACTATTTTGGGCATAGGACCACGTGTGCGGCCGGTCAGAACTTAAACACGGTGGTAGTTTCCCCTACACTGCATGGATCTGAGCGCTATTTGGATAACTTGGGTGCTCAGACTAAGCCTATTTAACAATGTATTATTTGTGGGGTTATTTTATGTTTTTATTATGTTTTTGGGTGCCGTATATACTCGAGTATAAGCCGAGTTTTTCAGCACATTTTTTGTGCTGAAAAAGCCCCCCTCGGCTTATACTCGAGTCATGGTCTGTATTATGGCAACTTACATTGCCATAATACAGACCAGGACCGCCGGGCTTATTACAAGCCCGGCAGTCCTGTTGGGGGCCGAAGCAAGCGGTTACTTACCACTGCAGCAGCTCCGTTCACCTCTGTTCCATTCAGCTCCCAGTGTAAATCTCGCGAGACCCGCGGCCGTCAGAGCATTACCATGTGTTACCATGTCAACGCTCCGTGCGGCACGCAGACTGGGAGCTGAACGGAACGGAGGTGAATGGAGCTGCTGCAAAGGTAAGTAAGAGCTTGCTCCCGGCTCCCCCCTTGCACAGCCCATGCCACTGGACCACCAGAGAATCATATAGACTCCCCTCCCTGGCTAGGTATCAAGCAGGGAGGGGGGACAAAAAAGAAACAAATAAATATTCAAATAATAAAACTAAAATAATAAAATATAAAAATAATAAAATAATAAAATAACAATATTAAAATAAAAATAATAAAATAATAAAATAAAATAACAATATTAAAATAAAAATAATAAAATAATAAAATAAAATAACAATATTAAAATAAAAATGCCCTCCCCCACCCAGTTTACACACACTACACAAACACACACACACACTGCATCATATACACACACTGCATTCACACAAACACACACTCTGCATTATCTACACACATACACACTCTGCATCATATACACACACTGCATTCACACAAACACACACTGCATTATATACACACACACACTCTGCATTATATACACACAAACTGCATTCATTATATACACACATTACACACAAACACACACACACACTCTGCATTCATTATATACACACACCGTTAATAAATATTCAATTAAAATAATTTTTTGGGGATCTAACTTTATTTCGAAATTTACCAATAGCTGCTGCATTTCCCACCCTAGGCTTATACTCAAGTCAATAAGTTTTCCCAAGTTTTTGTATTAAAATTAGGGGCTTCTGCTTATATTTGGGTCGGCTTATACTCGAGTGTATACAGTATTTTTATGTTTTCCTCTCTGTTCCTGGGAGATAATTAGCTTACCGGCCTTTAACTCAATTATCTCCCAGGCCCAGAGATTCCTGGGAGGGACTTTTGGTGAAGACAATTGAGACCCCATGCTGCGGTCTGTGTATAAAAAGTCTGTGTTTGGATGCATTAAACCAGTTTTGCTCCCAGAACTATGTGTCATCTAGTTACTGGGAGGGGAAGGGCTATAATAACTGCTTAGACCCTTGTTCCACCTCATGGAGGATTCGGCGGGGAAAGTCCTTGTAAAGACTAGAGCTCCCAGGACTGTGCGTCATCCAGCCCCTTGGAGGGCATAGAGCTAGTCCCCTATCCTGTTCCAGGACGAAGAGGCTCCAGGAGGACACCAGTCAAGCCATGGCAACTGGGGCAGAAGCGCTGAGGTTTTCCCCTGTTCCACCTAGGTCCTTTTCAGAGTTACCCAGCCGGGGTACAGGAAGCTCCACTTCATTACTAAAATAACATTCACATCGTAATAGCCAATAGTAAAGCCATTACTTTTTTTCAAACATGACTGTCCTGCCTGTTGTACATGCTTCTATCACCAGGAGGCAGCAGTGAGTGTCCACATTTCCCACATATGCCCTTTTTTCTCATTTAAAAATCCACAATGCTACCTGTTGCTACTCTTCATACAAATTTATGACTCACAGTTAACAGTCTGTCTTGTTATCAGATTCCACTAGATAACTCAATAAAAATATACTGTATATAATATATATTTACTGTATATAATATACAAATATAATTTGTACATTTCAATGGAGTGGAATTTGTTGCTCTAAAAGTATACCTATATCTTTCTTACAGGTTATTGCCAATCATCACATGCAGGCTATCTCATTTGCATCAGGAGGAGATGCGGTAAGTTGAGTGTCATAATAGTGACTCTGTGAAGGTGCTACATTCATAAGAGTACAGTGTAATTACAGAATACCTCCAAACATTCCAAATGGACAAAAAGGGGCACTTTAATTGTAGGGGTGAGAGTTAAGGTGCAGGACTGTTCTGAGAAATTTTAGGTTACTTTTATTGTAGTTTAAAGAAACATTACTGTGAAATACACAGTAACATGTTGCACCAATGGATGGATATAAAGGTAAAATGAGTGAAGAAAAATATATATAATAATAATAAATACATGTATAAAGTCGAATATTCACTGTCCAATTATCACAATCCGAGCGGCTTTTAAGTTCTTGATAGTAATCAGTTCTTGTTTAAGGTGCTTGTGAACATATGTAAAAGGATACAAAATGAAATATAATAGTGCAGACAGTTTAAGCAGGAAGTTAAAACTCGCAATATCGGTAATTGGAATTGCACTCACATTTCGTAGAGCTTAAACTAGCTCTAAGTAAAATTGCTTGCTGCGATACAATCCATACTGATGGATATAAAACTCTGAATGCCAGTGTATCAGCGTACAAATGGTTATATTACAAACAGATATACAATAGTGCTCACTGTAAGTACAATTTATATAAAAATAAATGAATGTATTTGACTCATATTTAATAGAGCGGCATATCACTCAAATATTTGAGCATGGGTGTTATAATCCCCCCAAGGATATGGTTTGATGTGCCAAGAACAAATAAAATAGTTAAAAACTATTAAAAAGCATAAAAAATTAATAACACATAATAATAAATAAAAACCAAATATACTTTAATGCTAAAAGAAATTAAACAAATATTACACAACACGTTATACTAATAATAGACTTTTCACATGTAAACCACACATTACTGTGAGACTTACTGCTGTGGAGGTCTGTTATACATTTAAACACATACGCAAAATGAAGCTCCTTGATATTAGTATAGAAAAGAGGGACACAGGGATTTGGGCCCAAAATAGGGACTGTCCCTCCTAAACAGGAAGGCCTAGGAGGCATGTTACAATGCATGACACAGTAGTAAACAGTTTCATGTTTAGAGCAATGGGTACAAGGGGAATACCCAACTGCCCCTGTGGATAGTCTCCTAATGTAGGTAAACACAAATATTCTGTAACCAAATATGTTTCCAGTAGGGACTCTACCCATCCTATGAGGTAATAGGTGTTCAAGGCTCAGGGGATGGCAAACCCCAAGAACAAAGGCAACTCTCTAATTAGATAATCCGTGACAGAGGGCCGATACTGGGAGACGGCCTGGCGGCCTGCCCAGAAAAGACCAGCTAATCAGAGCGTTGCCGTGGGTTATCATGGCAAAGCTCTGACACATCAAATGCAATACTTCTACCACATGAACTGCAGATCTGCACACAGCGAAGCTGAAGAAAGGATAGCCCACCACAAGAGAGGGCGTCAACTGGACCACCAGGAAATTGATTACCTTAAAATAAAAAGGTATTTCAGTTTGGGAAGGCTGGTCACTGAAACACAGCCTCCCCACACACTTTTACCCCCACACACACAGTCTTCTCCAATACACACTGTCCACTCCCTTACACTGTCACCTACTATACACATTGTCTCTACCCCACACTGTCACACCCCAAAAAATTGTCACCCTCCCACCCACACACTGTCATCCTCCCACAGTCATCCTCCACACATACACTGTCAACCTCCCCCATAAACTGTCACCCCCTACAACCACTGTTAACCCGCTTCACCCAGCCACACTTACATTAAACTCTCCTAATCTTGTCACAATGAACCCCCTCCATAGCAAACTCACCTGCCCTTGCTCTGCCACACTCACCCTATCACAATAACCTCCCTAGTCCTGTCACACTCACCTTGTTTTGCACTGTCACACCCACCCCCAACCCAATCACTTTCATCCTCTATCACTCTGTAACACTCACCCAATGTACCCTGCCACACTATCACATTAACCACTCCAATCCTGTCACTCATCCCCCCAACCCTGCCACACTCACCCTGTCACATTAATGCCTCTGATTTGTCACACTCTGCCACACTCACCTTGTAACATTAACCTCACTTAATCCTGTTACACTCACCTCCTCTCACACTCCCTTGTCCAACCATGCTACATTCACCCCAAACCTGTGATAATTAACTCCAACCATGCCACACTCACCCTGTCATATTACCCCCCTAATTGTGTCACACTTACCTCTCCTCACCCTGTCACACTCTTCCTCTACTCATGGCACACTCATCAGCAACCCTGTCACACTCACCCTCTTGCATTCTGTTACACACAGGGCCGCAACCCTGTCTAATTCACCTTGAAGACATTTGTCATTCACACACAGTCAAGAAATGTAGCTTTGCCATAAACACAATGCACAAAGGACACAGGCAGCCCACATACACGCACCATACTGCCAGCAGCTACCACACACACCCAGTCCCAGACACAAATATGCATATGCTCACAGAGGCATACACACAAGGATACTCTCCGCCAGACACACACTCATAGGCACATACACAGGGAGACAATGCCAGACACACTCAGAAATACACACAGCCAGAAACACATTATGACCGTATGTCTGTATTTGTCAACATGTGTGTCTCTGTGTGTAAGGAAACCAAGTACATTTAAACCTTAATCGGTAGTTTCCTCCTGAACAGCCAGAGCCCAGTGAATATAGCCCTCCGTTCGGTAGTTATAGTAGACGAATTCCCAATTGTAAATCCAATAGTGTTCCTGGATAATTCCCACAGTAAAACACACGAACTCCCAAACAGCATACGTAGTCAGAATAAGGGTACAAAGATGAACTGAGGTTTAATGACAGGCATGCTCTTTTTATGGAATTCAGCCCATGCATTCAATCCTAACAATATACATACTGTACATCTCCTCCCCTCAGATAACCATTAAACACAATTAAAATGTACCAGAAAATCCCCAAAGTTTGGATGTACCCCAAGGACCAACATATTAAAATCTCAGGCCATTCGTTTCAGCCGTTCGGGAGATATAGGACTTAGAAGTTTTGACCGACTGCACGGGCAAAGTAGCCGAAAACAGTTCCATGAATTCTGGCCCTGCAGTCGGTCTTAGATCGCATGAAAAACCTCCCGAACAGCCGGCCATCCAGCTACCATCCTTGGTTCGCTGGATTCCCCATCTGTTGGTAAGTCTTTCTACCGAACGCCCGGTCGTTCGGTAGTTTGGAAGGGGTTTTACCGAAGGTCTGGAGGCTTCAGCGGTGTTCGCCTGTTTGAGTGTCCGTTTTCAGTTCCAGACATTCAATGGCAAACACCGCTGTTCGGGAGCTAAAATGGCCGCGAACACGAGGAAGTCCGAAATGGCGGCGAGACCTGCCGTTCGTGCAAAACTTCTGCCGAACGTAATCCAGCCAGCAAGGGGGGACAGTCTGTATAAAGGGGTAACAGGGGGGTCTGCATTCGGTAGTTTTACCTACCGAATGCCATAGGGAACATTGCTATTAACACAAATACAAAGAGGGCATACACAGTTAAAAAAAGGCATTTCTTCACACTGTGCATCAGTTTGTGTGTGTATATGCATATGTGTGTATCAGAGTGTGAGATCAATGTCATCTACCAGGAGCCGCATCTGTGCTTTACACTTGCGCATGTGAGATCAATGTCTGAATTCCACAATCATCAACTGTGATGGCTGCTGGTATTGAACAAAAGTTGACAGAGGAGCTTTTGTTGACTTTTGTCAGCATCAGATTTACTATAAAACACAGTAGTCCCTTGGTATCTTTAGATTGCACAGATTTTATTTTTATGAAATAGTGAAAAGTGACAGTGTCACTTTAATGCAGCACCATCACAGTATCTGTCACATTAACTTCACATTTGGATCTTGCCATTGTAACACTTCAATATGATATAGTTTGTGAAAGTGATATAATAACACCCCTTCTCCCTTTAAACAGGACACAACAGACTATGTGGCATATGTGGCCAAGGACCCAATAAATCAGAGAGGTAATACTATTTCCCATACTGTGCCACAGGTATAATGTGTGGCAGCTATCAACAACTTGAAATATTGTGTTTGTTCTGTGATATGAAAAGAAGGTACTCTGGATCTGCTGTTTGATTCCATGTGTAAAGCTAATGTACAAACTTGCTCTTACTTGGCAAATGCATTATTTTGCCTTTCAACAAAGCATTGCCTGTAATGAGATTGGATACTTCACTGTGAGTGAAAAACCTCTTTAATTTGTGGGGCACTGACATCTCTATGAGTGCCGCAAAGTCAAATAGGTGAAGCAGTACTCAGAAACACTACAGATCAACTAGCCAGGCGCTCTGCAATAAAGGACATTACAAATCACCAATAATCAGATAAGAGGTGGTGGCTTGAACTGAAGTTTTTATAACACCTATTTTGGTAGAATATTACATTATGTTTTAGACCACAATTATAGGAATATATATACATATATATGTAAACCCACAATTTAGAACTGATAAATCTCCATTATTATTTGATTAGTTTTTATGTAGCAATGTAGGACTAACTTATTCCGCAATAAATGAGACAATTACGCAATGTTACAGTAACAATAGGTTGATGTGGAACCCTGCTCAAAAGAACTTACAATCTATCAATCTAGAAGAGGTGGGGTATAAAAACGCAATAGGAAGGGCAGCGTTCCTAATTTCTCACTTGAATAAAAGCAACATTGACTGTCCCCTAGCCACCAATCAATCATCTCTTTTTTGGCACCATGGGCAGAATTCAGTATCATGAACCCAAATCGAACATGTTCGGCATTATGTGGTTCTGTTGGTCAATAATTTGTTTACATTTCGGCTCGGAGTTCAGCTGATCGTTTGATCAGCCCAAATTTGGCTGAATAGCAGTACGGCCTGAAACAAATCTCCAAGTCTAGTGCTCATCACATAATTTATAGATTACCGGGTGAGCAGTGACTGGATAAACCTCTCCATATGCTGACAGGCTGATGTTGCTTAATGTAGATCAGTTTGCTAACAAACAACACCGTATTAGTTATGGTGCTTATCTCCTAAGGTCTGTCAGCTGCCTTAACCTGTGAGTTGCATTTTCATATCCATATAAGACTGCTGGCCTTAAAACTTCAAAGAAATCTGCCTTGCAGATGATGGGAGTACTAGTATGAAGAACCAGTTAAAGTTACACATTATTAAGTGCTTTATAATACTGGGCCTGGCAATGTGATTTAGAGAACCACCCATAGTGTGAGTGCATATGGACTTAGTAGGGTTTTTAAAATACATAACTTTTGTTATGGTATCCCTTTTTATTATGAGTGGACACTGCTATGTTGTGTGTATCATATCAGTGTATCACAGAACTCTCCAGTTATAAGACTTTCTGTATTAAGCAGTGTATAAGGAATCGTTGAGCTGGATGGTGGAAATATAAACACGTAATGATAAATTATTGCACCACATAAGCTTTGCACATAACAAAAATGGGAGTAAAAATGTGTTTGAGTCTAACTTGGTACAAGGCAAGAGGTATATAGTTTTCAAACAAAAGCCGTTTTAAAGCTGGGGTACTAAGTGTCTGGCGCAGGTTGCTATGGGGACGTGACACTGGATGTAGGATGTTGATTGCTTCCATGGTAACAGAGATATATTGGGTTATAAATGTCTGAGGGGGTATAAGCATGTCAGGATAGTTTGATAGTGACTAAGTGGGACACTTAATTTCATATATATGTGCTTTTGATCATCATGCATTTATAAACATAGTAAGATGGCTATGTGTAAGTACCAATGGCCTTGCTAGAGCAATTGTCTGTGCCTTTAACACCTTAAGAACCAATGGCACTTGTTGCTGTTTTCTCTACCTGATCTTTAAAGAGTTTATGCCAGCTGTAGACGTATTAATGAGCAGGTTCCTAAAAGATTGTTATTACAGCACAGTCTGTCATTTGTCTTCAGTGAGTTACAAATGAAAATAGTTATTTTTCACTATGTAGGTTAATATATAAGGTGTCTGTTTGTATTAAAGTGCATTAGAACACTGCCAATTATCTCACTTAGACATACATATATACATTTACAAAAAAAATATATTACTTGCACTTAGGGGTAGATGAACTGGATATTTTTGAATGTCTGTGATGGTTGGGTAGCAATATTAATAAAATAGGAAAATGATTAATGAAATATAGCTAAAATTAATACAGGGAAATCTCTCTCTTCTAAATTGTGCTTGTTTTTCTATGCCATTGAGGGAAAATGTAGTATATTGTTTAAATATTTACCTACTAGAATTTATTAATTGTGATTTTTTTTTTTAAAGGTATAGAGTCTACATGAACATGGGTTACTGTAGGATGGTGTTATAATAGGTTACGGAAAAGTGTTACATTTGTACTGATTTATGAATTAGTATAGCATTTTGAAATGTATACATCAAATAAATAAAACAATATGCAGAGCATCCTTGTATCTCTATTTTTAAATATTCAGTAAAAATTTGACCTGCTACACTGTAAAATTTAATCAAATGTAACCAGAAAATGTATTAAGAGTCCTGTAGATACAGACCTTTACCTTGATAATTTGGAGCTCTTTTATATATTCTGGAAACATTGAGAAAACACTATGCATTCAATGAGGTAGAGCAGGCTCTTGATATCTATATTTGTCTTCTACTCTTCCTGTCTTTCCCACACCAAACCATCTGTGGATGCCATCTCTGTGTTAATGTGTGTTCTTGTCTCTTACACCACCCTTTGTCCCCTCTGCCGGTCCACCCCCTCCTTCCCATCTGTCCCTTTGTGTCCCTGAATTACACCCCCTCCCGCCTCATCCGCAGCCTGTCACATTCTGGAGTGCTGTGAGGGGTTGGCCCAAAGTGTAATCAGCACTGTAGGACAAGCCTTTGAGTTGAGGTTCAAACAGTTCCTGCACAGTCCCCCCAAAGTGGCAGCACCCCCAGACAGGTACGAAGGAAATCCTATTTATTTACTGATCTTATTTTTCATGTGGACCTGGCCTAGTATTCTTACCCTTTGGAGTTAAGGCCATTCTACCTAAAAACCTTATAAATGTTCCATTTTTGTTTTTTGTTCTGGGTCTTTCCACCATATCTGAAACTGGTACTTATATATTGTATTATTGCATTCCATCGACACCTATCAGTTGTCCTTGTCTCTACCTATAAATTATAGTTAACTGTCCACATCAGAAAATTATATACATATTTCATATGTATGTAAGAAAATAAACAACTACTGCCATATAGGATCCACTCACCTGAGTTAAAAATCCCCAGACCATACTTGCTGTATATTCTGAGATACTTTTAAACATTACCACCTCTACTCTGAGGCTCTTCCATTAATCTGCTACCCTTTCTGTAAAGTATCGGTTCCATACATTTCATATGAAAATGGGGCATTTAATTCAGGTATTAAAGTTCCAGATCTCTCTTTCTCAATTATATCTTACCTCTTGCTTTTTCCCTCTTTAGGCTGGTGGTGGGTGGAGAGGACCATGCATGGGGAGTAGAAGAGTACCAAGTTTCTGAACACAACTATTACAACAGTATCCCAGGCAAGGAGCCCCCAGTAGGTGGATTGCAAGACTGTCGTGTAAGAGAAGCTGGAGCGACCTGTCAACTTCACCCACAGATAACTGTTAATGGGCACTGGCCTCAGGTAGGTATTAGTTATGTCTGTATAATTTTACACTGTATAATTTGGCATACTCATAAGCCTTTGTACATACTCAAAGTCTATCTGTTTAACCAGAACAGTTTATCTGATGATATGGATCATTCAAGTCAGTAAAGCAACAATCAGCGTTGCCAATCCTAGGCATATCAGCAGACGGATTATTTCCCCACAGAACCCCATAACGTATTGTGCATACAATGCAGCCAGGGATTCTGGGTAGGAATGTACAAATTTGATCACCAGTGTGGTTGTATTTAACCCCTTAAAGACTGAGCCAAATGTACACGTTGTGATCAAAACAAAACGTAAACAAAAACTTGAATTTGCGCTATATGTCTGTTCAGGCATAATTCGCCTCTTTCATATTTTGTGCACCCACACTTATTATATACCATTTTATTCAGGGGAAACAGGGCTTTCATTTAACATCAAATATTTAGGTATGAAACATAATTTAATATGAATAAAATATAAAAAAATGAGAAAAAACACGTGACATTTTAACTGTGAGTGTCATAATACTGTTTGCTTTTACTGCAATAAAATACACATATTTGTATTCAGCGATGTCTCACGTGTAAAACAGTACACCCTATGTACAGGTTTTATGGGGTTTTGGGAAGTTACAGGGTCAAATATAGCATGTTACATTTTTCAGTTTTTTCACATTGAAATTTGCCAGATTGGTTCCGTTGCCTTTGAGACCGTATGGTAGCCCAGGAATAAGAATTACCCCCATGATGGCAAACCATTTGCAAAAGTAGACAACCCAAGGTTTTGCAAATGGGGTATATGTCCAGTCTTGTTTATTAGCCACTTAGTCACAAACACTGGCCAAAGTTAGTGTTAATATTTGTTTGTGCGTGAAAAATGCAAAAAACTAATTTGGCCAGTGTTTGTGACTAAGTGACTACTAAAAAAGACTGAAATACCCCATTTGAAATACCTTGGGTTGTCTACTATTGCAAATGGTATGCCATCATGGGGGTAGTTTTCATTACTGGGCTACCATACGGTCTCAAAGGCAACATAACCAACCTGGCGAATTTCAATGAGAAAAAATTGAAACATAAGCCTTATATTTGACTCTGTAACTTTTGAAAACACCATAAAACCTGTACATGAGGGGTACTGTTATACTCGGGAGATTTCGCTGAACACAAATATTAGTGTTTCAAAACAGTAAAACGTATCACAACAATTATATTGTCCGTGTAAGTGCCATTTGTGTGTGAAAAATGCAAAAAAAGTCACTTTCACTGACAATATCGTCGTTGTAATACATTTTACTGTTTTAAAACACTAATATTTGTGTTCAGCGAAGTCTTCTGAGTAAAACAGTATCCCCCATGTACAGGTTTTATGGTGTCTTGGAAAGTTACAGGGTTAAATAGAGTGCTTGCAATTCAAATTCTCTGCACTTTCTGCCTGGGTTGTCAGGCATGTCAATCAAATTTTAATTAATTAAATCACATAATTATGTTAAAAGATTACTTAAATATACACGTAGAATTTTAATATATATACATATATATGTATTTAAAGTCTACGTGTACACATATGTTTTTATTTATGTAATTATATATATTTATGTGTATATATATATTTGCGGTTATTTGTATTTTATATATAGATAGATATATATAGAATGTCATTCTAAGTGTATTTTGTTACCAATATATATATATATTAATAACAAAATATAGTTAGAATGAAATTACATATGTATACATAATTTGTTTAAATTTTTAAAAATATTTTATTTATTTATTTTATTATTTTATTTATTTATTATTGTAATTATACGTGTATATATAAATATAAAATATATATAGATGTATTATATATATAATATAGATATATATATATATATAAATACTTGTAATTTATTTTAAAACATGTTTAATATTTTTTTTTAACACTACCCACCAGCAGACATTTCAGACAGCAGATCCACAGCCAGCTATAGGGGGCCATGTGATCGCTCTTTGAGAGCGATCACATGGCCCCTAGGAGCCTGATTTGCCGGGGGAGGGCTGTCTGGACTGTCAGGCAGTCCCCCCGAAGAGGATCGCGGCGGAGGTAAGTAAAGCTCACCTCCTGGGGCAGAAAGCCGTTACGGCGTTCTATGCCCCCGCAACGGCTTTAAAGCCCATTTAATGCGGGACGGCATAGAAGGCCGTAACGGCGTTAAGGGGTTAAACTCTCTGCCCATGATATACTGTACTTTTAGCCTATATCAGCTGATTATGGCACCGTAAAGCTATTATAAAGTTCTTCTAATGTTTTTAACAGTGTATGTCAGTTGCTCGTGTTATATTGTCCAAACATTTGTGTGGATTAATCTCTGCTGTACAGCATGTTTTTTAATGATTTATTTTTTGTTGGAGATACCAAATAAATATACCGTATATACTCGAGTATAAGCCGAGTTTTTCAGCACATTTTTTGTGCTGAAAAACCCCAACTCGGCTTATACTCGAGTCAGTCTGTATTATGGCAATTTATATTGCCATAATACAGACTGGGGGCTGGCAGAGCTGTTACTTATCTCTCCTGCAGCTCCTGCCAGCTCCCTCCTCCTCCGCGCCGGTCCGGTCAGCACCTCGATCAGCTCCCAGTGTAAGTCTCGCGAGAGCCGCGGGGTCATAGTGCGGTTCTCGCGAGACTTACAGTGTGAGCTGAGAGAAGAGCTGCACGGACCGGCGCGGAGGAGGAGAGAGCTGACAGGAGCTGCAGGAGAGGTAAGTAACAGCTCTGCCAGCCCCCCTCCTCCCCCCACTGAACTGCCAATGCCACTGGACCACCAGGGAAGGAGAGCCCCCCTCCCTGCCATGTATCAAGCAGGGAGGGGGGACAACAAAATAAATAAATTAATAATATATAAATAATAATAAAAATAATATTAAAAATAATATAAATAATAATACAAATAATATAAATAATAATAAAAATAATATTAAAAATAATATAAATAATAATAAAAATAATAATAAAAAAATAATAATATAACAAAACAAATTAAAATAATATTAAATTTTTTTTTATAAAAATGCCCACCCCCCCACCAAGGCTCTGTAACACAAACACACACTGCATCACACACACACTGCACTCATATACACACACAGCATTCACACACACACTGCATTCACACACACACTGCATTCACACACACACTGCACTCACACACACAGCATTCACACACACACTGCACTCACACACACACTGCATTCACACACACACTGCACTCATATACACACACAGCATTCACACACACACTGCACTCATATACACACACAGCATTCACACACACACTGCATTCACACACACACTGCACTCATATACACACACAGCATTCACACACACACTGCATTCACACACACACTGCATTCACACACACACACTGCACACTCATATACACACACTGCACTCCTTATACACACAGCATTTCACACACACACACTGCACTCATATACACACACAGCATTCACACACTGCATTCACACACACACTGCACTCATACACACACAGCATTCCACACACACACACTGCATTCACACCTGCATTCACACACACACTGCACTCCATATACACACACAACATTCCACACACACTGCATTCATACACACACACTGCACACTCATACTCACACACTGCACACTCATACTCACACACTGCAGTCATACACACACACTGCACACTCATACACACACTGCATTCACACACACACTGCACTCATATACACACACAGCATTCACACACACACTGCATTCACACACACACTGCATTCACACACACACTGCACTCATATACACACACAGCATTCACACACACACTGCATTCATACACACACACTGCACACTCATACTCACACACTGCATTCATCATATACACACACTGTAAATAAATATTCAATTAATATAATTTTTTTAGGATCTAATTTTATTTAGAAATTTACCAGTAGCTGCTGCATTTCCCACCCTAGTCTTATACTCGAGTCAATACGTTTTCCCAGTTTTTTGGGGTAAAATTAGGGGCCTCGGCTTATATTCAGGTTGGCTTATACTCGAGTATATACGGTAAGTTTAATTTTATTAAAAATGTACATTTTTATTTCTGTGAGTGGTTGCGCAGGCCTGGGGCCTGTAATGCTGTTATGGTGGCATAAGTTTCTATCTCCTCTTCATACATTTAAATGTGAAGAAACACTTGAAAATATAACTGTTAATAATGTCTGTAACGGCACCCCCAGGCATAAAGGGGTTAAACCGCCATTTAGAAGATCTTCCCCTTCCAGAGACACAGGCACAGCTACTGTAGACACCAATCCACCGAACCGGAGAAGCATATGAATGCCGTAAACAGCTGAACCAGAACCATACGAATGCTGTAAATAGCCGAATAGGAAAAACCATACAAATAGGTTTACACTCCTAGCAGTCAAACTGGAACAGCATACAGTAAATCCCCCCAAGAACGAGACAAAGCTCCGTGTTGAGGGTCAAGCAGTGAACAGACAGAGCTGTGGGTTTATTGTTCTTATATACACATTAGTACCACCCACAGGGTTTTGGAAAACAACCAATAAACACGTACAATACACTCAGACACTCCCACACAAAATCCTCCCCTCTGCCTGTGATACAATTACCTTACACAATGAGTAATGTAATTATCACAAGCAGAGAAATACAATTTTTCCACATTTTTCATAACTTGAAAAGTATGCATCACATTCACAGACATGTAACATAACCCCAGATAGCTTAGGTCTGAGCACACATTATTACTGAATGGCACTCAGCCCACACACATACAGTTCAATTGCCATGGAGCCAAAGTCTTTCCCATAGTCTTTCATTATACGAATGGACTCCATGGCATAGCTATCTGGGGTATCACCGCTCAAACAGGACAAGCACCGAATGACCTGGCTTTCGTGTCTTTGCAGGGGAAAATCAAGCGTTTCAACATGGGGCCATAGTCTAAAGGCAGCAGGCGAGCAACCAGGCTCCTCCAACGCACAGTGGCAAGATTGGTCTTGTCACAATGTCTTTTAACTTCACTGTGATTAACTTTTAAATCAAAGGTAACAGTTCAAATGGGTCACGGCCCCTGTAGACCATTTTGTAGTACAGATTTGTAATGGTGATTAACGTTTAGGCCTGGCTACGAGCAGAGGACTTAAATAATATATAGTTTAAAAAAATACACATTCCATTATAAATTAGTTATAGATATTGCAACATGCCTGTCTCTGCTCCAAAATACAAATTTGCATCTCATAATCTAATGCTTGCTGTAATTAAATACATTCACTGTATTCACTTTCCTATTGGCAGTTTAACATTAGGGACTCTATAATTTAAATTTTTATGTTGTCCTTGATCCAGCCTGAGTTTCTTTGCTTCCTGAGTGTTCTACAAATAGCAGTTAGCCTGTTAAACTGTTTGGAACATTAGGAACTGATTGATGTACACTTCTTAGAGGAGGGAGTATATTTATTTATATAATTTGGCATACAAAACTAAACAACATAGACACCTTTGATGCTGCCCTGGCTTAGAATTCTAACCACCAGTAGAGGAGAAGAGATCTAAGTCATCTAAATTGTATTAGTCAGAGTAACAAAATGAAGCTAAGATGCTCCAGTAGCCACCAGATAAGAGAACACTTATAGCGATAGTAATGTAAATGGTCAATATACATGTTTTATATATATATATATATACATATTTATTTATTTAAGAGATATAAATAATAAGCACTGGTATACTAGCTAAAGAACTTGGAGTACTAAGGGAACACAACAACAAAGTACCTAAAACATAGAAATACTGTGCTTCAAAGCTCACAATATATATTTTTTTCCGTGTAATATAGCTCACAATATTTATAAATGTATATTAAAGCTCTAAATATAAAAAAGTATAGAAAATGGTACAAGACAGAATTCATAGGATTTGTAGGTTGGTGATGTTGTCGGCTGCTGTATCTCTAGGTAAATACCATTGCTATTTCTTCTTAGTAGAAAATAGGTTCAACGCAATGGAAAGTAGACTGAGCACAGGCAATGACATAATCGTATCACTCAATTATTGTGAAGAGCAAATCACTTGAACTATGATTAGCTCTCCACAATAGCAGATTATATAAATATACCTGCTTTATCTATGTCTTTCTTCCCTTGATCCAATCAAATGACAGCAGTAAAGAAGATAGCTGTAGGGTGTATTTGAACATATTTACTAATTTAGTAAGGTTGACATTCACTCTGTAACATAATAAAATCAACCTTTTTGTTTTTCATTGGTGAGAATAAGCTGTTTTCACTGTAGGGGGATTCTGATTTGTTTCATGTAAGGGTTACTCTAAGCACCAAAACAACTTTAGCTAATTGAAGTAGTTTTGGTGTATAGATCATGCCCCTGCAGGGTCACTTCTCAATTCTCAAATATTTAGGCGTTAAATAATTTTTGTTTCTGTTCATGCAGCCCCAGCCACACCTCCCTTGGCTGTGACTTACATACAGGGGCGGGCTGGGCCGGGGGGCAGGGAGGCAATTGCCCCCCAGGCCGCCATAAATCCTTTTAAGACCGGCCGCTGCAGGGCCGGTTCTAATGCTGCAGCCGCCTGTGCGCTCTGTAAAGAGCCTCAGGCGGCTGCAGCACATCTTCTCCCCTCCCCTCCCCTCCCCTGTAGCATGGCCGAGCTCCTCTCCCCATCCGTGGTGCCCGGCCGGAGTGATAGGAAGGTGCACACTCAGTGTGCCCTTCCTGTCAGTCCAGCCGGTTACAGGAAACAGAAACTCCTGTTCCGCGCGGAGTTTCTGTTTCCTGTAACCGGCCGGACTGACAGGAAGTGCACACTGAGTGTGCACCTTCCTATCACTCCGGCCGGGCACCGCGGACCGGAGAGGAGCTCGGCCACGCTACAGGGGAGGGAAGTGAGAGGAGCCGCATTAATAAAAGAGGGGGATTTTCAAGAAGAAGGGGAGTGGTGGGGGAATCTAAGAAGAAGGGGGATTAAGAAGAACAGGGGGATTAAGAAGAACAGGAAGTAAGTGGGGATTAAGAAGAAAGAGAGGGGGGGAATTAAGAAGAATGGGGGGAATTAAGAAGAACGGGGAATTAAGGAAGAACAGGGGGAGTAAGAAGAACACAGGGGGTAAGAAGAACACAGAGGAGGGGAAGAGTAAGAAGAACACAGGAGGAAGGGGGGGAGAAGGGAGATGAGGGAGAACACAGGAGGGGGGGGAGGTGAGGAGAACACAGGGAGGGGAGGTGAGAAGAACACAGGGAGGGTGGGGGAGTTAGAAGAACACAGGGAGGGTGGGGGGAGGGAGTAGAACACATGGGGGAGGTGAGGAGAATGGAGGGGGAGTGAGGAGAACACGTGGAGGGGGGGAGTGAGAAGAACACAGGGAGGGAGGGGGTGAAAAGAACACCGGAGGTTTGGCGGGGGATGAGAAGAGCACAGGGAGGGTGGGTGTTAGAAGTGACCACTAAGGGGCAGGGAAGAGCTCTATAGGACAGGGGGCAGGACAGGGAGCTCTCTTACACTACGCACGCGCACACACACAATGCATCCCTATACATACACAGAAACACACAATGCATCCCTACACACAAAGACAATACATCCTTTGCACACATACACAGAAACACACAATGCAAACCCTTACACACACATGCAAACACACACACTGCTTCTCTTACATATACATAGAAACACAATGCATTTCATACACACACTCCATGCACACACTTACAGACACACACCTTGCATCCCTTATGCATACAAACACAGATTCACATAACTTATACACAAACACACACTGCTTCCACTACAAACAAATACACTGCATCACCTACACAACCTGGTATCCCTATACACTACATACCATAAGCACCCACATTAGATCCTCTACAATAACACATAACACATCCCCTACACACTCCACTCCCTGTGAGCGAACTCATGGGTGGAACATGTATGTGGACTTTTAGGTGGGCCTTATGGGCATACTCACCGTCAGGCCTTGGGGCCCAGACCTTGAGCTGTTTAAGGGGCTCCCAAAAAATGGAGCTGCTTCCCATTCTACTAGAACTTTGAATTTTGTGACCACAGTTACAAACAGCCTTCAGAGATCCTGTTCTACACCAGACCAGTGGAGCCAAACTGCAGGCCATCCTCATCCTCATCTGGTTGTAAGTAGGCAATCTAGTATATTATTAGTAACACTAATCTTCAGCTTAATGAAGTGGTTCTGGTGTCTATACCCGGTCCCTGCAGGCTTTTTAATGTAAACACACACTGTGTGCAGCATTGGCATTAGTTCATATGGCAGATCATATAGGTGGGGCATTGTGATGTCACATGGGGGGGCGGCAAATTTTTCTTTTGGCTAGGGCGGCAAAAATCCTTGCACAGTCTACTGGTGACCCACAGGAGGGGAGTGCACTGATTGCACTGCACTCTCCTCCTGCCCAGACCTGTCTTTACCGCAGTGCAAGTGCCCTCTGCCCCTAATTTACAGTGGCTCACACTCATAGCAAGCAGTGCCTGGAGCCCTTTGCAGAGACGGGAACAAAGAGGTTCTGCGGCAGCTGGCCGTCCTGCAAGCATTACATTAAACAGCTGTTCCCCATGCAGCCACAGGTGGTGCTGTGCTGAGAGAATGTGATTACTCTTCACTTCCTCTCAGCCTACAGAGCAGCACATGGGAGAGAGAGAGGAGGAGGCATGATTTAATCTTACAACAAATCCACTAAGCAAATCTTTATAAATTTTGGGGGATCAGCTCTGTTTCCACAGTTTATTGGTGTTTACTCTGATGTCTGTATTAATATTGAGGGATTTCTAAGTAGTAACATCAGTGTGTATTAGCAGGGCCAGCCGTTAGGGTGTGCACGCTGTGCGGTCACGCAGGGTGCCATGTCAACAGAGGCGCCTGGCGGCCAACACAGCTCACAAGTTGGGGACACCAGCATATTCAATTTAAATGATTCGCTGGTGGTCCACTGGTGTGCACCAGCAGTAGGTGCAGTCAGATTATATCCTCTGCCTCGTGGTTCCGGCGCTCAGTTAGTGAGTCGGAGCACAGGCTCAGAGATTCTCAGCCTGCGCTCTGACAACATTGAAAGTCAGAGCCGTGAAGGAGCGGGTATGGCAAAGAGCTACTGATTAGCATAACATCAATATCCGTTATAAAACCAGGAAAAAGTGGGCATGGATGGTGAACTAATTTGGTGGTGCAATGGGCCACTTGACTGGTTTTGCCCCCCAGGCCTAAGGCTGCCAGGCCTCCCCTGCTCACACAGTCCCCATGAAAAAAAAGGCTTAATTTGTAAAACCATTCTTCAGCACAATATGTGTATTATCAAGGTGTGTTGGAATTATTGTCTTTCATATTTAATTTCTAGGTGTGTTCTCCTGCTAGAAAACCCCCAGTATCACATTCAGGATCTCAGTGGGAGCTGGAAGAGCAAGGTAAACTCAACACAAGGTGTGCAAGTCTATGTCTTTTGTTGGTCTCTTCCTGTCTCACTCTAAGCATGCTTATCTTGTAGGACAAGCAAGTGAGGAATTTCCATTGACCAATGGCAAATCCAATGGAGCAAGAGATTATGAGGAACATATGTATGTGAACACCCAGAACATAGATGGCTGGAGTTCAGACAAGGAATCCTACATGATCCCTGAAGACAGTCCTAAGAAGGATCTATTTGACATGAGTAAGTAAACAAGGGACACAAGGTGACACTTAAGGTGGCTGTAGCGGATGGCACCAGGCGATCCTACAAATATACTGTACATAACTGCATTCGTGTATCTGCTGTGTTTTATATGTGTTAAAAAGAATTGTATTCCTCTGATTGTTCGGTAGTTTCATTCCCTTAGTTTATTCGAATGAAACTACCGAACAACCAGACCTCCCCTGTGTGAAGTGTGTCCTCAATTACCCGTTGCAACATTGTTGCGAACGGGTAATTGAATAGTAAGTAGCCGTCCTTTGTTCTCGGGGGTGGCCGCCATTTGGCGGCGGCCATTTTAAAACTCCCGAACAGCGGTGTTTTGCCGTCGAGTGTCTGGAACTAAAATCGGACACTCGAGTAGGCGAACACCGCTGAGACCTCCACAAACCTGGTCCGTTCGGTTCCAAACTACCGAACGGCCCCTCGTTCGGTAGATAGAAAATACCGAACGAGGGGATTCAGGCGAACCCTCCCTAGCCTCTATAGCTAGAGGCTTTCGTGTATTTTGTTCCCTTATGCCAGGACCGACCGCAGGGCCCATTCGCATGGAACCTTATTCGGCTATCTCAGTTAGTGCGGTCGGTCATTTTATTCCCTCCATACATTTCCCGAACCCCTGGTCTGATCTGGGTGATTTTTGGATATGTTGTTCACCCAGATCAGGGGTATCCGGGGATGTAGGATTTAAAGAGGTACCCCTACGTTTAGGGGTACATCCAGAAACGGGGGGAATTACTGTACTGGATAAGGGGATTATGATGCTGGCTGAGGGGAGGAGATGTGTGGGAGGTTACCAGGACAGGATTGGCTACTGTAATAATTACTGTAAATCCCTCCCTTGCATGGGAGCATGCTTTATAAGGAGACTGTGGATTAAAGCTTTCAGTTCTGCTCCTGAAACTGTGTGTCGTCCAGTTATTGGGATTGCTGTGGGGATATTGCTGTATTTTACCTGCTGGAAACCTTGCCTGTGGATTTACTATTTACTTGTTCCTGAGCCTCACTTGGATTATAAGCGGAGATAACCTGGGTAATATTGCATCTCCGCTACATTGGTTGGCAGCGCTGGGATCCAGACTCACAGAGGAACAAGCATAAATGGAGTACGGATGGAGATTGATTTTGCCACACTAAAACGCTCCACGCTAAAAGATCTCCTGGAGGCAAGGGGTATACAAGCCAGCAATAAGAAGAAAGCAGTACTCATTACCGAACTTATGGCGGAGTACCGAATGGACGGCGATTCGGTTCCCAAACAGGGGAATTCGGGAGAAATACCGGAACAGAGGGAGTTCCAGAGGCAGCTGCAATTTCGGCTATCTTTCTATGGGGAACACCCTCCAACAGAGATTGTTTCAAAAACGATGACGGAGGTACAGGAATTATACTGAGGAATCAAACAGCGGCCCCAGAACGCAGCTCTGCAGTAAATATGCCACAAGAAGGTAAGCCTAAAATACCATACCAGGCTTTTAAAACATATGTGGAGGCAGAGGAAGATATAGACGCTTTCCTGCAAGATTTTGAGAGACTGTGTGCACTGCATAGAATCAGCGCAGAACTCACTTCAGCTGGAAGGCTATTCCATGCATCCACTACCCTGAGAGGGTAGTGGATGCATGGAATAGCCTTCCAGCTGAAGTGGTAGAGGTTAACACAGTAAAGGAGTTTAAGCATGCATGGGATAGGCATAAGGCTATCCTAACTATAAGATAAGGCTAGGGACTAATGAAAGTTTTTAGAAAATTGGGCAGACTAGATGGGCCGAATGGTTCTTATCTGCCGTCACATTCTATGTTTCTATGTTTCTAAGGTTAACTGGGAGGGCAGCTGAAGCATACCGTACTGTACCTAATGAAGAAATAAGGAATTACAATAAAGTGAAAGAAATTATATTGGCCAGGTATGCTATAACACCAGAAGCATACCGGCGGAGATTCAGGGATTTAAAGAAGGTGGAGAAAGACTCACATGCTGAGTGGGCATGCAGACTACAAAGAGCAGTCCTGTGGTGGGTGCAAGCGAGCAAAGCACGGTCTATGGAGGATGTATTGCAAATGGTACTGATGGAGCAGTTTTATGAAGGAGTAACCAGCGAGGTACAGGAGTGGGTAAGAGACAGAAACCCTACCTCCCTTACCGAAGCAGCCAGGAAGGCAAATGAGTACCTGGATGCACGCAGGCAGCAAGAACCTGCAGCTTTTAAAACCTTTGGGGGAAACAGCTACACGCCAGCTCTACCGAGACCACTGCCACCACCACCACCGCCCGCTGCACAGCCACGTTTCCACCAGCCCACGTCGGGCCCTTGCCACCACTGCCAGAAATGGGGACATTATAAAAGGGAATGCCCCCAGCTGCGGGACCGTTCCACCTGGATCCGGCCCGGTCCACCACCACCACCACCGAGAGCAGCCGCAGCCCACCACTACCAGGACATCGTGGCCACACCGTATGGCTCAGCGGTTCCCATTACAACTGTAGAACAGTGGGAAGTACTGCACGAGGCGGATACAGTCCAGGCTAATGCTGACAACCGCCAGCATCACAGGCAGACCGTGTATCTGGAGGGTAAAGCGGTTCAGGGGCTACGTGACTCAGGAGCCACCATCACCCTGGTAAAGAGTCACCTGGTCTCAGACCAGGCTAAACTAAACAAGACTGTGGCCGTCAGGGTAGCCGGGGGAGCAGTATACCGGCTACCTACAGCGAGGGTACATTTACATTGGGGAGCGGGGGCAGGACATGTGGAGGTGGGGTTGATGCCGCAGTTACCGGTGGAGGTTTTATTGGGGAACGATCTGGGGAGGCTCACCTCTGCTTTTGAGCCCCAGACCTCCACCACAGGAGAAGCTCACCCTGTGGTTACTCAACAACAGGCCCACACCCAGGACTACAACACACTTCCGGAGGTTCAGGTAAGAGATCCTTCCCCTTCCCTTGACTGTGTTCCTTGGGCCCCTCCTAACGAATTTGCAGCTGAGGTAGTGACTGACCCCACCTTGCAGGTGTATAGGGACAAGGTGACAGCAGACACACCTGGGGGGGAGGGCGAAAGGTTTATCTGGGACAAACAGCTGTTATATCTGGAGACGGATAAGAAGGTATCCGGGTCAGACCCGATTGTGATGAGGCAGTTAGTGGTACCCCAGCGGTACCGGGCGGAGTTACTACGGATAGCACATGACATCCCGCTATCTGGACATTTAGGGGTCAGCAGGACCCGGTACAGGTTAACCCAAAGCTTCTTTTGGCCTGGAATTAGCCAGGAGGTGCGCAGGTATTGCAACACGTGCGATACATGCCAAAGGGTGGGGAAAAGGGGGGACCGGCGCAAGGCCAAGTTACATCCCCTTCCCATAATCGAGGAACCCTTTAGCAGGGTAGCAGTTGACCTAATAGGACCCCTCAACAAAGCGAGCCCGTCAGGTAAACGATTTATCCTGACAGTAGTAGACTATGCCACCAGATATCCAGAGGCGGTGGCCCTGACGAATATACAGGCTGAGACAGTAGCGGAAGCCCTGATGCAGATATTCTCCCGGGTGGGACTTCCCAGGGAGATTGTCTCCGATCAGGGCACCCAATTCACCGCCGAAGTCACGCAGCGCCTCTGGAAGTTTTGTGACATTAAGCCTGTCATTAGTTCCCCTTACCACCCCCAGACGAATGGGCTCTGCGAACGTTTCAACGGTACATTGAAACAAATGCTCCGAACCTTCGCAGAGACCCACAAGGACTGGGAGAAATTCCTGCCCCACCTCCTCTTTGCTTACAGGGAGGTGCTGCAGGAATCCACTGGGTTTTCCCCATTTGAACTATTGTTTGGCCGCAGGGTACGAGGGCCTTTAGATTTAATCAGAGAGCATTGGGAGGGAGAACGGAGCACTGACGGTACCCCCATCATACCATACGTGTTGGCATTCCGAGACCGCCTTGAGGCCTTAACTCAGACGGTATGCGAGAATTTGCAGGCGGCTCAGACACGCCAACGCACATGGTATGATCGGGGCGCCAGGGACCGTAGCTTTCAGGTCGGGCAGAAGGTGTTTTAAAACCTGTCCGACACGATAAGCTGCAGGCCGCCTGGCAGGGCCCTTATAGGGTGGTAGAACAACGGTGTGACACCACTTATATAATCGGCTCGTGCGTTGGTACTGGGGGGCGACGCATGCTCCATGTGAACATGATGAAGCCCTACCAGGAGCGCTCTGAGGAAGTGACCGCTATATGTGCGCCTAACTCCGAGGAGTTTGACAGTTTGCCTCTCCCGGATCTGCTGGGAGAGGGTCAGTTATCAGGGGACTTAGGGGAAGTCACCCTGGGGGACCGGTTGAGCCCACAGGAGCGGAGCGAGGTACAACAGCTGTTGAGGGAGAAGCAGGATATCTTCTCTAATGTACCTGGTTACACTCCTCTGGCCACTCACAGAGTAGACACCCCAGGGCAACTTCCCATGCGTCAGACCCCGTACCGCATCCCAGAAGCAGTACGGGCGAACATGCGCAAGGAGATCGATGAGATGCTCCAGCTGGGGGTGATTGAGCCCTCTGACAGCCCCTGGGCATCTCCGGTAGTGCTAGTACCAAAGCGGGACGGCACGACCCGGTTTTGTGTAGACTACCGGAGATTGAATGAGAAGACGGTATCTGACGCCTATCCCATGCCCAGGATAGACGAACTACTGGACCGGATGGCGAGGGGGCACTATCTCACCACTATTGACTTGTGTAAAGGGTATTGGCAAATACCCTTGGCGCAAGACGCCATCCCTAAGTCGGCCTTTGTCACCCCATTCGGCTTATACCAATTTAAGGTCATGCCGTTTGGGATGAAAAACGCCCCGGCTACTTTTCAGCGGATGGTGGACCGCCTCCTGGATGGGTTCCAAGATTATACCTGCGCCTACCTCGATGATATTGCCATTTTCAGCAATACCTGGCAGGAACACTTGACCCATATAGGAGCGGTCCTAGACAGGATTAGGGCCGCTGGTTTAACGCTGAAACCAGCCAAATGCAGCATCGGAATGGCTGAAGTACAATACCTCGGTCATCGGGTAGGATGCGGCAAGCAAAAGCCGGAACCAGCCAAAGTAGAGGCTGTAGCTCAATGGCCTACCCCTAGGACTAAGACTCAGGTACTAGCGTTCCTAGGAACGGCCGGGTACTACCGGAAATTTGTCCCGAATTATAGTGCCCTGGCCAAACCTCTCACCGACTTAACCCGTAAAAACCTGCCCCGCCAAGTAACCTGGACCCCGGAGTGTGAGCAGGCATTTCAGTTGTTGAAAGATGCATTGACCAATGCCCCTGTCTTGGCAGCTCCCAATCCAACTAAACGTTTTCTTGTCCACACAGACGCTTCTATGTTTGGATTGGGAGCAGTACTGAGCCAAGTCGGGGCCGATGGCGGAGAACATCCCGTGGCTTACATCAGCCGGAAACTGTTACCTCGAGAAGTAAGCTACGCCGCCATCGAGAAGGAATGCCTGGCTGTGGTGTGGGCCCTGAAGAAATTACAGCCATATTTGTACGGACAAGCTTTTTCCCTGCTCACGGATCACAACCCGTTAATATGGCTAAACCGGGTGGCTGGGGACAATGCCCGGCTGCTGCGCTGGAGTCTGGCGCTGCAGCCCTTTGACTTTAATATCCAGTACCGCCCGGGGAAACAGAATGGAAATGCTGATGGGTTGTCCCGACAAACTGACCTAGAGAAATGATCCGTGAGCCTCCCCGGACATCCCCAAGCCGATCCGTGTTGGATCAGACTGTGTATGCTGGCTTGTGGGCAAGGGGGAGCAGTGTAGCGGATGGCACCAGGCGATCCTACAAATATACTGTACATAACTGCATTCGTGTATCTGCTGTGTTTTATATGTGTTAAAAAGAATTGTATTCCTCTGATTGTTCGGTAGTTTCATTCCCTTAGTTTATTCGAATGAAACTACCGAACAACCAGACCTCCCCTGTGTGAAGTGTGTCCTCAATTACCCGTTGCAACATTGTTGCGAACGGGTAATTGAATAGTAAGTAGCCGTCCTTTGTTCTCGGGGGTGGCCGCCATTCGACAAACGAACACGTGGCGGCGGCCATTTTAAAACTCCCGAACAGCGGTGTTTTGCCGTCGAGTGTCTGGAACTAAAATCGGACACTCGAGTAGGCGAACACCGCTGAGACCTCCACAGCCCTGGTCCGTTCGGTTCCAAACTACCGAACGGCCCCTCGTTCGGTAGATAGAAAATACCGAACGAGGGGATTCAGGCGAACCCTCCCTAGCCCCTATAGCTAGAGGCTTTCGTGTATTTTGTTCCCTTATGCCAGGACCGACCGCAGGGCCCATTCGCATGGAACCTTATTCGGCTATCTCAGTTAGTGCGGTCGGTCATTTTATTCCCTCCATACATTTCCCGAACCCCTGGTCTGATCTTGGTGATTTTTGGATATGTTGTTCACCCAGATCAGGGGTATGAGGGGATGTAGGATTTAAAGAGGTACCCCTACGTTTAGGGGTACATCCAGAAACGGGGGGAATTACTGTACTGGATAAGGGGATTATGATGCTGGCTGAGGGGAGGAGATGTGTGGGAGGTTACCAGGACAGGATTGGCTACTGTAATAATTACTGTAAATCCCTCCCTTGCATGGGAGCATGCTTTATAAGGAGACTGTGGATTAAAAGCTTTCAGTTCTGCTCCTGAAACTGTGTGTCGTCCAGTTATTGGGATTGCTGTGGGGATATTGCTGTATTTTACCTGCTGGAAACCTTGCCTGTGGATTTACTATTTACTTGTTCCTGAGCCTCACTTGGATTATAAGCGGAGATAACCTGGGTAATATTGCATCTCCGCTACAGTGGCACTCATAATTCACAAACTACCTAATGGTTAGTGCTTCATTTGAATTAATAATTCAGTGCTCTCCCACACCAAATTCTCACCATATTGTGGTTATAAAAGAGCAGTGCTTGTTAAGTACTCTCAACAAAGAAATTATGTGAAATACAGAATCTATTCCAGCCATGTCACCCTTTAATATATGTGGTAGGCTGTTTTGTTTGTTCTTCCGTGTAGATATTAAAAATCATTTGGTTGATATATTTATCACAGAACCCATTATATGTTATTAAAGACCATTGCTATTTGGGTTTTTCACTCAAGTATTGAAAGTACATTTTTAGAGAATTTTAGCAGAAAACAATTTTTAATTTTGGCAATTCTGCTATGTTGGCTTAAAATTTTAAATTCAATTTTAATTTGCACTTAGTGAATAACCTTTAGAATCCAAAAAGTACTCTTGTTCTTAACTGTATTTGGTTCAAATTAGGTTCCATTTCTACACCTTCAAATGCATTAAAGCTCACCAAGGCCAAGACTACTCGAGCAGTTATCATTATTATTAGTATTATTTTTTATTTATATAGCGCCAGCAAATTCCGTAGCACTATAGAATGGGTGGGCTAACAGCCACGTAATTGTAACCAGACAAATGGACGCACAGAAACAAAGAGGTTGAGGGCCCTGCTCAATAAGCTTACATGCTAGAATGAGTGTGGTATAGTGACACAAAGGGTTTAAGTAGGGGTAATGAAATAGGTTGCTAGAAAAGTAATCACTGAGAACTTAGTAGGTTATTTTTGACATTTGCAGGAGAGGAGTGGGGGCGGGCAGAAATGAAAATCCACTAACAGTTTAAATGATATGCTTTCCTGAAAAAGTGTGTTTTCAAAGATTTTTTGAAGGAGTGAGACTGGGTGAAAGTCTAACAGAGAAGGGAAGGGAGTTCCACAGAAAAGGTGCAACCCTGGAGAAGTCTTGGAGGTGAGCATCAGATGTGGGAGTACGGACAGAGGATAGGCATAGTTCTTTCGCAAGAGCACAGGGGCCTCGACGGGACATATTTTCATATTAGGGAAGATAGGTAAGTTGGAGCAGCATTATGTAGGGACTTGTAAGCACCAGAATCTTAAATTTAGCCCTATATCTAACTGGAAGCCAATGTAGGAACTGAGAGAAGGGGGAGGCGTGGGAGATGCGGATGGACAGGAAAATTAGCCTTGTTGCCACATTAATTATAGATTGCAGCGGTGGAATCTGGGAACACGTAAGACCACTAAGAAGGGGATTGCAGTAATCAAGGCGAAAAAGAACAACGGCATTGACCAGCACCTTAGCCGTGTCTGGTGTTAAATAAGGGTGGAGGCGAGCTATGTTTTTGAGATGGAAGCGGCAGGATTTGGCGATCGACTGGACATCAGGGGTGAATAAGAGGTCGGGGTCAAAGAGAACACCTAGGCAGCGAGCCTGCGATGTAGAGGTGATGGTGGCGCTGTTGACTTGGAGACAGACAGACACGGGAGGAGCAACACTTGAGGGAGGAAAGACCAGAAGTTCTGTTTTGGACAGGTTTAGTTTAAGGAAGTGAGCAGCCACCCAGTTGGAAATCGCAGAGAGACAGTCAGAGACATGAGTCAAGATGGGCGGAGAGAGATCAGAAAAAGACAGGTAAATTTGTGTGTCATCTGCATATAAATGATAATGGAAGCCAAAGGAGCTGATGAGTTTACCAAGGGAGGAAGTATAGATAGAGAACAGTATAGGACCAAGGACAGAACCTTGGGGTACGCCAACAGAGAGGGGTTGCAGAAAAGGCGAGCCAGAGAAAGATACACTGAAAAAGCGCTGGGAGAGATATGAGAAGCACCAGGAGAGAGCAGTATACCATAGACTGAGATTACGGAGAATGAGAAGAAGCTGTTGATGATCAATAGTGTCAAAGGCAGCAGAAATATCAAGAAGAATTAGGATAGAGTAATGGCAGCGAGATTTAGCAGCGATTAAATAGTTGGATACTTTGGTCACAGCTGTTTCAACAGAGTGACGAGCGCAGAATCCAGACTGAAGCGGGTCAAGCAGAGCGTTGGATTCAAGGAAGTCTGTCAATCTCGCATACACAATCTCTCAAGGATCTTGGAGGCAAACGGCAGTAGCGATATAGGGCGGTAGTTGGATGGAGAGTTGGGGTCAAGGTTGGGCTTTTTCAGAATCGGCATTATGGTTGCATGTGTGAAGGGTGAAGGATTTGTGCCGGATGAAAGGTTGAGATTGAAAATTTTATTGAGAGGAAGAGCAAGAGAGGGAGACAGAGTGTGGATGAGAAATGATGGAATAGGATCAAGGGAACAGGTGGTGAAGCGGGAGGACCAGAGCAGAGCAGTAAGCTCTTCCGTTGTGGTAAGTGCGAATGAGCATAGAACAGCAGAGGGAGTGGGGTTGGGTGATATATTGAAAGGGGAGGGAGAAATGTTAGAGATCTCTTCCCTGATTGAAGGTCTTCTCAGTGAAGTGAGTTGCAAAGTTTGAGGCACACAGGGTGGTAGGAGGAGAGGAAGCAACAGGGCGGAGAAGAGCATTAAAAGTGTGAAATTGTCATTTGGGTTCACGGGACAGTGTGGTTATGAGGGTATTCAAGTCACTTACTTTTGCAGTGGAAAGTGCCAGAGTGTAGGAGCGCAGCATACATTTATACAGGGAGTGCAGAATTATTAGGCAAGTTGTATTTTTGAGGATTAATTTTATTATTGAACAACAACCATGTTCTCAATGAACCCAAAAAACTCATTAATATCAAAGCTGAATATTTTTGGAAGTAGTTTTTAGTTTGTTTTAGTTTTAGCTATGTTAGGGGGATATCTGTGTGTGCAGGTGACTATTACTGTGCATAATTATTAGGCAACTTAACAAAAACAAATATATACCCATTTCAATTATTTATTATTACCAGTGAAACCAATATAACATCTCAACATTCACAAATATACATTTCTGACATTCAAAAACAAAACAAAAACAAATCAGTGACCAATATAGCCACCTTTGCAAGGACACTCAAAAGCCTGCCATCCATGGATTCTGTCAGTGTTTTGATCTGTTCACCATCAACATTGCGTGCAGCAGCAACCACAGCCTCCCAGACACTGTTCAGAGAGGTGTACTGTTTTCCTCCTTGTAAATCTCACATTTGATGATGGACCACAGGTTCTCAATGGGGTTCAGATCAGGTGAACAAGGAGGCCATGTCATTAGATTTTCTTCTTTATACCCTTTCTTGCCAGCCACGCTGTGGAGTACTTGGACGCGTGTGATGGAGCATTGTCCTGCATGAAAATCATGTTTTTCTTGAAGGATGCAGACTTCTTCCTGTACCACTGCTTGAAGAAGGTGTCTTCCAGGAACTGGCAGTAGGACTGGGAGTTGAGCTTGACTCCATCCTCAACCCGAAAAGGCCACACAAGCTCATCTTTGATGATACTAGCCCAAACCAGTACTCCACCTCCACCTTGCTGGCGTCTGAGTCGGACTGGAGCTCTCTGCCCTTTACCAATCCAGCCACGGGCCCATCCATCTGGCCCATCAAGACTCACTCTCATTTCATCAGTCCATAAAACCTTAGAAAAATCAGTCTTGAGATATTTCTTGGCCAAGTCTTGACGTTTCAGCTTGTGTGTCTTGTTCAGTGGTGGTCGTCTTTCAGCCTTTCTTACTTTGGCCATGTCTCTGAGTATTGCACACCTTGTGCTTTTGGGCACTCCAGTGATGTTGCAGCTCTGAAATATGGCCAAACTGGTGGCAAGTGGCATCGTGGCAGCTGCACGCTTGACTTTTCTCAGTTTATGGGCAGTTATTTTGCGCCTTGGTTTTTCCACACGCTTCTTGCGACCCTGTTGACTATTTTGAATGAAACGCTTGATTGTTCGATGATCACGCTTCAGAAGCTTTGCAATTTTAAGAGTGCTGCATCCCTCTGCAAGATATCTCACTATTTTGACTTTTCTGAGCCTGTCAAGTCCTTCTTTTGACCCATTTTGCCAAAGGAAAGGAAGTTGCCCAATAATTATGCACACCTGATATAGGGTGTTGATGTCACACCCCTTCTCATTACAGAGATGCACATCACCTAATATGCTTAATTGGTAGTAGGCTTTCGAGCCTATACAGCTTGGAGTAAGACAACATGCATAAAGAGGATGATGTGGTCAAAATACTCATTTGCCTAATAATTCTGCACTCCCTGTAGTGGAGGAAGTCAGGTGCAGAGTGAGACTTTCTCCAACAGTGTTCAGCAGTTCTTGAACATTTTTTGAGATATTGGGTCAGCTTGGTGTGCCAGGGTTGTAATTGGGAACGCTTGCTGCGTCTAAATGTAGGAGGTGCCATGATGTCTACTTGAGAGGAGAGAGTGAAGTTGTAGAGTGAGGTTGCAGAGTTAGGGCAAGTGAGATTTGAAATGGGTAAAAGGAGAGTTTGGTGGAGAAATGCTGGAGATCAAGGCAGTGGAGGTTTCTGCGAGATTGGAGAGTTGAGGGTGATGAAATTTGGGCATGGGGTACCGATGTCAAAGGTCAGCAGATAGTGGTCAGATAAAGGAAATGGAACAGTGGAGAGATTGGAGGTGGTGCAGAGATTGGTGAAGATGAGGTCGAGTATTTCCTGCTGTATGAGTAGTTCTCATCTTGATATTAACAAATGCTTGGCGATAAATGAGATCTACCAGATATGACTGTATATTTGAGGCACTTTAGGAATGCCTGATTTTCAATTCCACGATAATATTTTTTCTTCTCCTAAGAATATTTTCAGCATGTTATTGAATTACATAGTATTCATTAGCAAGCATGTAATTAAATCAAACATGAAACAGTTACCCTGAATCCTTATTGAGCAGACACCTGGAGAGGAAGCTCATTCCTTATACACAAATTATAGTAGGCTATAAAGACAACATGCTATGATGGCAATCTCTATAAATATAGTAAGAGAACTTTAATATGTATATTACAGAAGGATATCAAAAAGATAAGAAAAAGCACAACATTAGCCACACAAAAAACCTTACATCTCTTAATGTGTTTCGGATGTTTCACAGTCGCCGTCTGGGGACTTTGCATGATTTACCACTGTTGGTGCAGTGGCTGGAGGGGGCAGGCACAGTTAAGTCCAACTTCTGGCCAGTCCTCTTGCATGCGCAAAGATACACTAGAGATCTATGGAGGATCCCTTGAGACTGCAGGATTCTCCAGAGATAGAGCTATATCCATGCAGCCGTAACTGCTGGGGGACTGACACTTCTTGATGGTGGTAGCTCTGCCCAGTGTCAAGAGGGGTCAGGCGTAGGAAAAATCCTGATTACTTTGTCTCAGTATATCTTTGTCTCAGCATATCTTTGACTTGGCTAGAATCCAACACAGTCAATATTGTATTTCATAAAGATTCTGTATTTATAAAATACTCATTTTGGGGTGGGAGGAGAGTGCCGTTTTAAAGGACCACTCTAGGCACCCAGACCACTTCAGCTTAATGAAGTGGTCTGGGTGCCAGGTCCTTCTAGGGTTAACCCATTTTTTTATAAACATAGCAGTTTCAGAGAAACTGCTATGTTTATGAATGGGTTAAGCCTTCCCCCTGTTTCCTCTAGTGGCTGTCTCATTGACAGCCACTAGAGGCGCTTGCGTGCTTCTCACTGTTATTTTCACAGTGAGAGCACGCAAGCGTCCATAGGAAAGCATTGTAAATGCTTTCCTATGCGACGGGCTGAATGCGCGCGCAGCGCTTGCCGCGCGTGCGCATTCAGCCCAGGAGGAGGAACGGAGGAGGAGAGGAAGCAGAGAGCTCCCCGCCCAGCGCTGGAAAAAGGTAAGTTTTTAACCCTTTCCTCCTTCCAGAGCCGGGCGGGAGGGGGTCCCTGAGGGTGGGGGCACCCTCAGGGCACTATAGTGCCAGGAAAACGAGTATGTTTTCCTGGCACTATAGTGGTCCTTTAAGCATTAGCATCATTTATAAGAATAATTCCTATGATTAAGGACTGATATCTCATAAACATGTTATGATATTTCACTCATAAACATGAGAGTATTATTGACTCTTTAATGCAGGGTTTGACACACAGCAGTGTTCAAGTCGTTGGAGTTCAATCCTCATCACTCTCAGGCAGCTCAAAAAAAGTGGACGTTCCGTTAATTTAGGAACATAGGTCTCTCTTAAATTGATGAAGAATCATGTGCATTTTAGGTTATCAGAAAATGCATATTTAGGCAAATCCTGTGCTGAGATTAAGACTTCGAATGAATTCTGGTGAATGAATAGAAATGTATTAATTTTTAAATCCATTAATTAACCACACATCACTACATACATAAAACATCTGAACTTCATTATATATGTGCATTTTGCAGTGTAGGAACTTGGTTAACAGGAAAATTGATATAAAAAATGATTTTGAGAGATACCTATTCTCAGTTGAGAATTTTCATTGATTTGAAACCTTCCTCAAGTTAACTCAATTATTTAAGAAATGAGAAATACACATATGCTATGTGTGTTTCTGTAGCACAGCTCATTTATATTACAAATCTACAGCAATTCCTCCGGCTGCCTGTTAACTAGCAATATCAAAAACAAATATTCTTATTATGCACCATACCCTGTTTACTGTGTGGAATATGTTTGTGCACTAGAAGAGAAACTAACTAAAGCACTACACAAATCCCTGCTGTTTCAGGAAGGGAAACTAAAACGTCATAAATATGACATATTTTATACAGTACATGTATTTTGTGGGGAACTTACACATTTTTTATATGTATAGGGAGGGAGCATGTCAAATGCAGAAAATCAATGATCTGTATTGATATATATATATATATATATATATGGAGATAAGGAAGAAATTTGAAGATTTGTTACATCACAGTAGATACATTGTTTTCTAAATAAACATTTTTCTTGCATTTTTTCTTTGCAAAATACAGAAAAAAGGAAGGAAACTGCATTTTAAAGAATCACATGCATAGGATAATTTTTACCATGTGATTACAAATTCACACTCCTCCCCATTTGTATATTTATATATTTTAAATGTATTGCACCTGGTACACACCACGGGCCATCAACAACTTCCTAAGACTTACCACAATATTTTGGCAAGCTGTTGATAGCTCTGAGAAGGCATCTTTTCCATATTGCAGGAATGTGTAATACAATGTATTTTAGAGGGAGGACACTGTGTGGTTGTTAATACTTTCCTCATTAAGGTAATCTTTACACATAAAGAGTAGCTACACTTAGGGAGCTTAACTGGTATTAAGCCCAGAAACAATAACTTGAGGGAGAGAGAGTGTACCCTGCAAAGAATTTGATCATGCCTCCAACTGCTTCCCTTATAGCACATGTAGTCCACAACATATGGAGAGCCAAATGTTGCCTACCCATGTTGTAGACAATTTAGGGAAAGTCCACATATAACTCTCCAGCAGAGATTCAGATACATTTTCTATTCATTGCATATATCCCTGTCCTTTCATGTACTTTGCAGAATGAGATTTAGTCCTTAAAGCATCACTCGATTATTCTCTAGGAATGATTACTAACCTGTAGAGGAATTCATTTCTCTGCCGGACGTCATTAGTCACTGATTTAATGATTGCAAGTGTGCTGAAAATGTGAGCGCAC